CAACATTCAATGCAGGATGTCCTCTGTGAATTCAAGACAAACAGCTGAGGGACATCTGGTCCCCACATGTTTCAATCACCGCTACAAGAGGCAGAAACCTGCTGGTCCACAGCCACTTTCAATCAAAGCTTTCTCTAAGCAGTTGGCTTTCTAATGAATTGACTGGCACATATTGTTGTGGGAGATGTAAAGCCTGTGGCTATAGTCAAAGAAATGTTCAGGAGCTTTGCAAATAGTGTTAAAATGGAGCAATTCCAAGTAAAGTAATTATTTAATGTGATAATATGGTGGGATTGGTGGACTTGCTCACCTGTGAGTGTGGCTTGAAATATGTGGGGAAGACATTAAACACAGCATACTTGAACATGTTCAGCCAGTACTACTAGAATCATTGAAATCCCTTAAACAATGTAATCAAGGTAATCCTAGAGGCTTGAGATTTTCAGGAGCTTAACTTGTAAAACTTGACCAACAAAAAGGTAATTTGGATTAGAGACTTTGGAGGAGAGAGTGGTTTTGGATATACCTCCTGAGGACTCTCTCCCCCTATGGTCTAAATTGGGGATTTTCAGATTCTCCTTTTATAAACGATTAAGAGGATATTTCAATAAGAAAATTCTACATAAAGATTAATTATTGAGAACCTTAAGAGGTATAGCCTTACACAAGAATCTACTTCTTTTTTCATCTTAAATATGGGGAGAACATTAGGGATCACACTGTTTTTCAGCGGCTATTCCAAATATTCTTTACTCTATTTTGAACTTTTCTAGAGAGATGCTAATGTTACATGTATTGCCCCTGACAAATGTGCCATGTAGCACCGAAACGCGTTGGGATATAGTTTATCCACATGTTTTATCTTCACTGAGCACTTTCCCATCGCAGGGTGATTGTGATTCAGGAAGCAAAATAGCTTTAGTGGTTGTGGTTATCGGACCATGGAGATAACTGAAGTACTTGTTTGTGGCTAATGAGTAACTTTGGTTTGGTAGGTTGAGACACCGGAGGTATGTGTTCAATTTATAGGACGATCCACTGCCTTTAGGAGATTACTGCTTTTTTCTTTCTTCAAGATCTTTGATTCTAATGCTGCTATTGTTAGGTTTGGTATGTCATATGTGAGTTGTCTCTTTTTCTCTGAGACAAGTGAGATAAAATTCTGATAAGCATATGTACATGAGCTTTATTCAAAGATAAAATTAGAATTCAATTTTTGGCTTGGTATACAGGCTGTACTTCTCCTATCCTCATTTTAAAATTTCTATTAAACATCAGTTGGATACAGCGATCTAATTGGCTCTCTGATAACAAAGCCTGCTGAGACATTAGATAGATTGTTAATCCTATAAAATACTGCTAGTTTGTATCCACAATCCCCAGTGCTCAATTTCAAATTACTGAGTCATTTTTTACTCTATAACTCTATGTGATTTGAGACCAGTTTTGGGATCTCCCTAGTGGGACACCTTTCCATTTCTGTAAAGAGATGGACTTTCTACTGCGATACAAAAAGTGCAGTTTCTATGTTTTACATTGAGGGTAAATAGATAGGGTCACTGCACCCACACCAATTCATTGGGATGACGTCGTCTGGGTGATTATAGTGTTCCTTTAAAATATACACTGTACATACAGTTGCAAGAAAAAGTATGTGAACCCTTTGGAATGATATGGATTTCTGCACAAATTGGTCATAAAATGTGATCTGATCATCATCTAAGTCACAACAATAGACAATCACAGTCTGCTTAAACTAATAACACAAATAATTAAATGTTGCCATGTTTTTATTGAACACACCATGTAAACATTCACAGTGCAGGTGGAAAAAGTATGTGAACCCCTAGACTAATGACATCTCCAAGAGCTAATTGGAGTGAGATGTCAGCCAACTGGAGTCCAATCAATGAGATGAGATTGGAGGTGTTGGTTACAGCTGCCCTGCCCTATAAAAAACACACACCAGTTCTGGGTTTGCTTTTCACAAGAAGCATTGCCTGATGTGAATGATGCCTCGCACAAAAGAGCTCTCAGAAGACCTACGATTAAGAATTGTTGACTTGCATAAAGCTGGAAAGGGTTATAAAAGTATCTCCAAAAGCCTTGCTGTTCATCAGTCCACGGTAAGACAAATTGTCTATAAATGGAGAAACTTCAGCACTGCTGCTACTCTCCCTAGGAGTGGCCGTCCTGTAAAGATGACTGCAAGAGCACAGCGCAGACTGCTCAATGAGGTGAAGAAGAATCCTAGAGTGTCAGCTAAAGACTTACAAAAGTCACAGGCAAATGCTAACATCCCTGTTAGCGAATCTACAATACGTAAAACACTAAACAAGAATGGATTTCATAGGAGGATACCACAGAGGAAGCAACTGCTGTCCAAACAAAACATTGCTGCACATTTACAGTTTGCACAAGAGCACCTGGATGTTCCACAGCAGTACTGGCAAAATATTCTATGGACAGATGAAACCCAACACAAAACATTATGTGTGATGAAAAAAAAAGGCACAGCACACCTACATCAAAACCTCATCCCAACTGTGAAGTATGGTGGTGGGGGCATCATGATTTGGGGCTGCTTTGCTGCATCAGGGCCTGGACGGATTGCTATCATCGAAGGCAAAATGAATTCCCAAGTTTATCAAGACATTTTGCAGGAGAACTTAAGGCCATCTGTCTACCAGCTGAAGCTCAGCAGAAGATGGTTGTTGCAACAGGACAATGACCCAAAGCATAGAAGTAATTCAACAACAGAATGGCTTAAACAGAAGAAAATACGTCTTATGAAGTGGCCCAGTCAGAGTCCTGACCTCAACCTGATTGAGATGCTGTGGCATGACCTCAAGAAAGCGATTCACACCAGACATCCCAAGAATATTGCTGAACTGAAACAGTTCTGTAAAGAGGAATGGTCAAGAATTACTCCTAACCGTGGTTCACGTCTGATCTGCAACTACAGGAAATGTTTGGTTGAAGTTATTGCTGCCAAAGGAGGTTCAACCAGTTATTAATGATGATGATCAGATCACATTTTATGACCAATTTGTGCAGAAATCCATATTATTCCAAAGGGTTCACATACTTTTTCTTGCAACTGTATACACTGTTTACCTCCCTATTTGCAACAAGAGGGTAGCTTTCTTGGTAAAGAGAGGGAAAAGGACCGGAGCAACCTGATGTCATGGGAGTCATACCCCAACACGCAGGAAGGTGGAAACCCAAAAGACGTATTACCGAGCCTTAGAATGGTCAGACTTAACGTATTAATACAGCAAGAAACAAGGTCAGGGTAAGCCATTGTCAGAAATACAGAAATACTCAGAGTGTGTACAAATCTGGGCCAGGATAAGGGCGCGACGTTGAATATAAAGAGCTGCAGTTCGGCCGAGAACCAGCAGAGGGACCTGCTTGCGGCACCGTAGGTGAGTATACTTTTCAGGACATGCAGCCATATGGCCTGAGGACTACATTAGTGCAGCCACTCGGTGCGTTCTGCCGTGTTGCCCAGGGAGAGGAGCGGCAAAGGCGCTGGGCACATGTAAGTTTGTGAAACCGGAGCACTGACGGCTTGTCTGCCTGTCTTGCTTAGAGCAAAGGGAGGATGCGATATCACACCACTTTAGGTGTGTAATTCACTATGGTTAGGGGATATATTTCTATTTCCTGAGCTGGACAGCATAGTGTCAAAGTGCCCAAGTGGACCCCTTGCAGAAGTACTGCCTGCACCCACTGATGGCTGCCCTGCATGCTTGTTTGTTTGTTTTTCTCTGGTAAAAACTACAGCTTAAACCCATGTTGCGCAGATTATAAAATGTTCAAAATCAAGGGCCAACTCGCTTACATAATGCATAAATTAAAATTATGTCGCTGATTTACTTTGTCAGATAAAATAGGAAGGGCTCAGCAAAGAGAAAGATCTGCACACAAGATTTTGGCCTATGGTTATGCAGCCCTATACGCACCAAACTGTGATGCACCTTTCTATCAATTCTGTGTGATTGGACCAGACGGGGTAGCCTTTGCTCACCACGTGCATCAATAAACCTTGGGCTCCAATGACCCTGATGCTCACCGGTTGTCCTTCCTTGCTTTTGGTAGGTACTGGAACACCCCACAAGACTTGCTGTATTGGAGATCATCTGACCCAGTCATCTTGCCATCACTATTTGACCCTCGTCAGAGTCACTCAGATCTTCGCTGCCTATTTTTCCTGCTTCCAAATTCCAAAGAACTGCTGCCCAATATATCCCACCCCTTGACAGGAGCCAATATGTAATGATATAATCTTTGTTATTCACATCACCTGTCAATGGTTTTAGTGTAGAGTGTTGTGGCTGATCAGTGTATAACTGTTACAGCTCATGGTATTATGACCGAATTCTGACCACAATGGCAATTCTCATTTTTAGTAAATCCAAATATGATCAGAATTCATTGAGCTGTAATTTTTTTCATCAGATTTTTTATTTTGTTGTAGATTATGTTTTTCTATTTGGCCTTTTGGGGCTGAAGATGAAGATTTAGATGAAAGAAGCCTTCAGATGGACAGCATAATACATTTTATTTTTTACCGGTATTAGTTTTTATGCCCCCTCCCCCTAAAATTATTAGGGTGAGGGGGGTAGGTATGGTTAATTTATTTTAAGCGGATGTCTAGGGGATTGTGGATCCCTGGCCACCTGTGGGCGGTTAGACAATGGAAATATTGGGGACATAGATAATGGCATGTCCACCCATGTTGTGTAATTTACTAGAGCCCCTGTCAGTCATCCCTGTGTGGGGCTAGGATGGGGGACACTAAGTTCCCCTCAAGAATATTATTATTAGAAGTCTCATCTGTCGCCAGTAGGTGGAAACTGGGATGGGAGCCATCACGGGATCATATGTCTGACAATTCAAATAGGTCTTGCTTACTATAGGTGCCCACTATAGGTGTCGAGAGTGTATTGTAATGGTATTTGGGGAATGTGTAATCTCCTCCTCTTTGGTTGTGGGCACTGTGAAGGACTTTTATGTATTTGCCTATATGCTTCAGTTTAATCCTCTCCCTGCTATTTTAATGTCTATATTGTTCGGTTCAAACTGTTGAGAATGAATGTATTCGTGTACCGAACGGGGACCACACACCCTGGGTAGCAAGTAGCAATTAGAACACAGAGAAAACCGCAACTTAATTGCTACTAGGTGGCCGCCATTCGACATACGAACACGAGGCGAGAACAAAGGATGGCGGCCATCTTAAAACTCACGAATGCGGTCAGCGGGGCTTACGCATGAATTGCATGGAACTGTTTTCGGTACGGGAACCATGCGAACGCCCGGCCCCCATGGAAGTCCTGGATGAATACGTTCCCCTTCATGAATCAAACTGGCGTTCGGTAGATAGTATCTACCGAATGAGGGGAACATTCACAGGTAACCAGCTGAACCATACGAACGGTGGTTTTCGTGTAGTTAGATGCGAACGGAGACCGGCTCTTGCTACTGATTCTATGGAACTGTAACTCGGATACCTCCACATGGCAAGCCGGTCAAACTTCCACACGATGCGACACGGAAACTACCGAACGGAAATTTGTGAGATTTGGATATGTGACTACCAGTATCCTCAGCTGCCCAGGGATGTCAAAAGTATATTTGTATGTCTTATAAAAAGTATGTTTCTGAAATTGTTATAAATTGTAATGTTTCTGGCCAGCAGATAATTGAGCTTTGTGTATTGTAGAAACTCAATTATCTAACCTGGCCCACAGGAGGAGTTTTGTGTTGCATAAATTGTGAGTTCTGTGTGCCAGTAAATCAGTCTTGTTCCAGCATTAAGCTTTGGCTCATGTGTGGATTATTCGGTGATTCCAGGGATATTTCTGCTTATGGAATATTGAGTGCTTTTCTTTTATGGGAAGAAGGGAATGCTTGACGGGGATATTTTCTACTACCGTCAAAGGCACCGTGCAGCACCACCTGCTGGTTTTCAATGAGTCTGCAACAGTTATGTTCAGCGACACCTGTTGGTTGCAACAATTACATACATTGACTAAATAGCAAGATTAATTAACTTGCATATTGTGGCTTATTATTATTATTATTATATTTATATAGCAAATTCTGCAGCGCTTTACAATACTTATGCAGGTACAAAGCATTCCCTGCTAGTTTTTGTCTTCATATACCCTTGTATAACCCCTTACAGACGCAGCTTCAGAAGCTTGTCTACCCATAAGGACACACGCCATGTCTGCATTATTTGCTGTTTATGTTCAACTGCAATTTGCATCTTTCTCATTTATTGCATCAACACATATTATATATAGTTTTTTAAAGGACAAAATGGGATTTAATTTGATGTGACATATTGTAGCGGAGTAGTAGTATTATCCACGGTTTCTCCGCTGGTAGACAGAATCAAGCAGGCACAAAGCAGGTAAAATCCAGGTAGCGTAGTTACAATCCCTTCCTTCCAAGAACTAGACGACACATAGCTTGGAGGTCAACTGAGGTTTATTTTCAGGTCACGGTATTTATGGGATTCCCCATGCAAGGGGTTTCCCTACTGACATTCCAGTGGTGGTACAGTAGGGGACTACATGGGGAACTGACCAACACATACATTTTTCCCATCATGCACTGCTGGACGAGAGGGATACTCCCACTGGAATATACCGTTAATGGGATTATCACTCCGTGCAGAAGAACTTACATTTTACATTAAAATACATAACTTTAATATTATTCACTTGTTTTACACGAATGGACGTTCGGTAGATAGCTGGAGGCTGAGCGCATCGTTCGTGAGAATACCGCTCAGCTCCCAGTCTAACTAACCGAACGCTGTACGAAATACATTTATTATAAGGGGAATAAACTACCGAACGGCCGGGGTTCCCGAACGGCCTGGAAGTCCAGCGGTGTTCGCGCTGTTGAGTAGCCGTTTTTAGTTCCAGGCGCTCGACAACAAAACACCGCTGGGCTAACAAAAGAATCAAGATGGCCGACCGCCGCCTAGAAACACACTTTATTACCGATTGCAACATTGTTGCAATCGGTTAATGGGCACCACACGACCCCTTGTGTGTGGTCGTGCATTCGGTACATTATTCGTTTCACGAACAGTGTTTAAACTCACTGTTTGTGAAACTACATTATGAATGCTGAGGTTTTCATACCGCCAGCATGCGAATGCCCTCATTCGCCTGAAATACAAATAGCATTCTGCATTGATCTTTATGGCTTAGCAAGAATACACACATACTGACACATTAATAGTCTCTAGTGGCTAGTTTTGCCGCACATATACATATGTATAATCTAATTTATTATTTAAAAAAAATTAAATTTATTTTTAAAAAAAACACTACAAAATTATTTTTTTAACAGTTATGGCAATAATAGAATGTGCATAATATGTTCATCTTAGGAAAAGTACTTCAAATAAATTATTTTATGTGTCTTGATTTACAAAGTACATAATATGTAGAGAATTTCAGCTTATTTCAAAAGTTAGAGGTCACAAAATATGTGAAACAATTTTAGAAGTCGGTATGTTTGACTTGTAGGTTTAGTATCCGTCACAGAAAACAAAATTGCCACACAAAAGTATATATTTATATAAAGTAGACATCACAGGCGATTTACCTAATGGTATTTTGATTCCTTTTTTCGTAGCCATTTCACCAACAATCTCTGCTAAATATTGGAGTAAAATTGTGTTGTTTTTTTTTTCTGTTTTTTGCCATTCACACATATAACAAAGTTTTTTTTCATGTGTATTTTGTAAAGCTGGTGTGTGCTCTTCCTGGTCAAAATCCCATATTGTGTTCAGTTACATCTACTGAGTACAACAATGCCCCATTGTATACCTTTGCCACTATTTTGGGAAGCTACAATGATATATAAGAGGCCAGACAATTTCAGATTCTACAGTTAGAAAATTCAAAGATGGACTTGATGGACCTATGTCTTATTGGGGCATTATAGTAGTTTGGTTGTTCAAATGACCACACAAAGGCCTTCCATTCGTGAAAGTAGACACTCCAGGATATCACATATGGCATATATTGTGCCTTAAGATTAAGTCTTTTTACCATTATATGTCAAACTTGGTAGTAAAAAAATATTTTTTGCATTTTTTACTTAAGCATTACATTTGTGCTGGGCATTTTGTATATTTGATGTTCCACTATGATCAAACACCCCTAATTATGCTCAGCTAAGTCTTGTGAGTAAAATAATACCCCCAATGTATGCCTTTGACACTATTAGGTGATGCTACAGTGCCATAAAGGAGACCTGACCATTTCAGTTTTTAATGGTAGAATTTTGAGAGATGGTTTTAAAGGGCCTATGGTTCAATTTGGGGCATTATAGCGGTTTGATTGTTTCAATAACAGAAGAAAGGTCTACAATCTGTGAAAGTAGACACTCCAGGGTATCTCAGATGGCATATATTGTGCCTTAACATGTCGCCATTTTTTCACCGTTATATGTCAGACTTTGTTTTAAAAAAATATTTTTCGCATTTTTTACTTGAGCATTACATTTGTGCTGGGCATTATGTATTTTTGATATGTTCCACTATGATCAAGCAACCCAAATTATGCTCAGCTGACTCTTCTGAGTAAAACAATACCCCCAATGTATGCCGTTGGCAGTATTTCATGAAGCTACAGTGCCATATAGGAGACCTGACTATTTCAGTTTTTACAGTAGAATTTTGAGAGATGAATTTGATAGGTTATGTCTCATTTTGGGGTCTAATAGAAGTATTCAAACTTCCCCCACAAAGGCCTACCAGTTTTTAAAGAAGACACCCCAGGGATTTTCAAAAGGCCCGTTTGAACCTTACGGTGGGAATTTATTTTTGCTAGTTAGTACCAAGTCTAGTAGTAGTAAGCATTTTCTCTGCCTTTTTGACACACTTTGAGATTTTACTGCATAGTTTGCAATCCTTAGGTGTGCTATGGCAGTATAACACTTATGTCACTCAGCTATTTCATCGAAGTACAGCAATACCGACGCGTGTACCTCTCCCAGGTATATGTGGGTATTGAAGGGGCAAATTTGAGACTCGGCCATTTCAGGTTTTTTGCAAACCTTGAATTTTGACACTGGGTCCAGGTCCCATTTTATGGCATTTTAGCAGCTTGATAATTCAAACTACCTCACAAAGGCCTACCATTTTTTTAAAGAAGACACCCCGTGGTATTTTAAAAGGCCCATTTTGGACCTTAGGGTAAGCATTTTCTTTGCCTTTTTGACACACACTGCATAGTTTGCAGTTCTTAGGTGTGCTACGGTAGTATAACGCTTCATATGTCGCTCAGCTATTTCATCTGAGTACAGCAATACCCCCACGTGTACATTTGCCAATTATATGTGGATGTTGAAGGGACAAATTTGAGACACAGCCATTTCAGTTTTTTTCAAACTTTGAATTTTGATGCTGGGTCCACGTCCTATTTTGGAGCATTTTAGCAAGTTGCTAGCTCAAACTACCCTACAAAAGCCTACCATTTAAAAAAAAAAATAGATATCACAGGATGTATATGGATGTTGAAAGGGAAGTTTGAGACACACCAATTTCATATTTTTGAAAAGCGGATGCTGGGCCTAAGGCTCATGATTGTAAACTACCTCTCAAAGGCCACATTTATTTTTAAATATAAGCAGCTCATCAATTCAAATTATGAACAAGTGCATACTATTCTCTGGAAAAGGGGGAATATTTGGTGTAAACTTATCGGGTGGTAGTGCCCAGTCATTTTCTTCATGGGGAACACTAGGGGAATCGTGTATTTCTGCTGCATTCTGGCAAAAATGAAGCGCCACTTTCACCTGTGTCAAACTCTGCCTGTCACCTCTGAGTCCGCTGTCAGAATTTTGAAAGCCTCCTGGGCACTGAACTTTCTAAGCATTTTCAACTTTTTACACAAGAACTTTAAATAATGTTATAAATCTTTTTTTTTATTAATATTTTTTATAAATCCTAACTTAACACTAAACCCACTAGCTTCCCACTAACTTTTTGGGGTAGATGGAATCCTGAAGCAGCAGTGACCTGCTTGAATTCTTCTGTTAGGCTCCACTGATGGTCCTCCTCTGTGGCACTCAAGCAGCCCAGAAATGAGCTGAAAATTGAAATGATAGAAACATATATTTCAGCTCAGCATTTGCCTTTTTAAATATAACGGAGGCATTGTGGATTGCCATCTATATTATATATATGCCCATTTTTTATACCATGGCATGGTCTTTCGCATAATCAAATACGGCTGCATCAGTTGATCGGACAGGTCAACTCCCCCCCATATGCTGATTGTAATGCTGTATGCAGACTGGCACCCATTTAATTTCCTTTTTGCCTCGAACTGCGACCCAGCGAGTGCTTTCATCATGGATGGTAGTTAGGATGAAAACCTCCTTTTTATCGCGGTACTTTAGTGCCAGCAGTTCATTCTGGCAGAGAGCTGCTGTTTCCCACCCCCCTTTTTAATTTTTATTCTGCTAGAGCCTTTGGGAAACCTGTGCGACTCTTCCTGATAGTGCAAAAGGCCACAGTCTCGAAGCAGTACAGTATTTTTAGAAGTGGGATACTATTATAAAAATTATCAATATATAAGTGATATCCCTTGTTTAGTAAAGGCATGATTAGGTCCCAGACAATTTTCCCACTTGTCCCTACTAAATCTGGGCAACCTGGGGGATCAAGGTGGCTATCCCTTTCTTCGTATACACAGGTGGTGTACACATAGCCACTGCGACTTTCACACAATTTATAAAATTTTATCCCATATCTGGATCTTTTGAATGGGATGTACTGTTTAAACCCTTGTATTATCACTAAAGTGCAAAAATTGCAGTATGTCTTCATATCTAGTCCTTCTTCTTGTCTGGTGACTATCTCCCCAAAAATATCATCCCCCAAAAACAGCTGCATACAATCCAGCACCTTTTAGTCTGTATGCAGTGGTGTATTTACTGCGAGGCTGACAAAGCATTTGCCTTCGGCGGCACTTTCAGGGGGGCAGCAAAAAAAGTCGCCCCCAATCACTCTGGCAAATGCCTTGCCAGCCTCTTGTCCTGGGGGCCCAGGAGCTGGCCGACTGGCCACCTCAGGGCACCCCTGAGGATAGCATCTGATGTGGGAGGCGGGTGGCAAGGGAGCACTCTCCCCTGAGCTCTCCCTGCTCAGCTCCCTCGCACACACCACAGTGATGCCAGAGCTGGAGTATGAATTCACTCCGGCATCACTAAGCGGCGTGCGAGGGAGCTGAGCAGGAGGGTCAGAGCTCCCTTGCTGCCTGCCTGAACTGTGCACCTGCCAGCCTGACCGCTGCCAGACCACCTGCATTGCCCTGCCAGCCCCACTGGACCCCATTGGAAAATTCACCAAAATGTAAGCAAATTTAAAAAAAAATGTTAGTGTGTGTTTGTTAGTGAGAGTATGTGTGTGGGTCTGTTAGTGAGTGTGACTGTAAGTGTGTGTCTGCTAGTGAGAGTGCCAATGTGTCTGTTAATGAGTGTGTTAGTGTGTGTCTGTGAGTGTGTTAGTTTGTCTGTTTGTGAGTGTGTTAATGTGTGTCTGTTAGTGAGTGTTTGTGTCTGTTAGTGAGTGTGTTAGTGTGTGTCAGTTGGTGTGTGTCTGTTAGTGTGAAAGTGTTAATGTGTCTGTTAGTGAGTATGTAAGCATGTGTCTGTGAGTGTGTTAGTGTGTCTGTTAGTGAGTATGTTAGTGTGTCTGTTTGTCAGTGTGTTAATGTGTGTGTCTGTTAGTGAGTGTGTGTCTGTCATTGAGAGTGTATAGGTTTTTGTCAGTGAGTGTGCATGTGCGTTTGTCAGTGTGTGTATCTTTAACTGAGAGTGTGTCTGTCAGTGTGCGTATACATGTTTCAGCATGTGTATCCGTGTCTGTCAGTGTGTGTATGCGTGTCTGTCACTGAGATTACGTGTCTTGTCAGTGAATGTGTGTGTCTGTCGGTCAATGACTGTAATGGATCACCTGGCACCCCGACTGGGTACCTCCGTTGAAGGATGCTCCTAGCGCTTCCCGAGGACTCCAAACACTGCAGCAGACACCACAACCACCGAACAGGAAAAGCATACAATCAGCTTACACTCCTGGCAATCAGCATACAATCAAATTCCCCCAATAACGAGACGACACTTCGTTTTGAGGTCAAGCAGAACTGCCTGTACTGGCACATACAGCCTCTTTTATTCACAATCCACAAACATAGTACTGCCCACAGGGTTTTGAAATACAACCAATCAATCCATACATACAATACACACAGACACTCCCACACAAAATCCTCCCCTCTGCCTGTGATATGATTACTGAACACAATGGTTAATATAATTATCACAGGCAGAGAAATACAGTATTATAAAACACATCACAGGGACCCCAAAACATGCAATAACCCCATAAAAATATATATTTGGGTGAACCACATATCCAAAATTCACCCAGATCCGTTCAGTACTTTGGAAGATACAGTTTAATGCAGATTCTGCAGAACATATACAGGCTATATGAAAAATAATTACTGTATAATGTGTCCCCTGTTCTATAGTTTAAAACTGCTGCACAATGTCTTTGTGCACCAAATACCGGCGAGATGGCACCGTGTAGAAAAGTCCAAACAGTGTCTGTGAGTTAAAATGGCCGCCATCCATTGTTCTCACCATGTGCTTCATCCATTGTTCTCACCATGTGCCTCTGATACATGAAATGGTGGCCACCCAGTAACTCCACAGTATGTCCCCAGGATTCCCCTTAAAGGGCCAGCAGCAGCATAATAAAATCAAGTATGCCCACATCAGTTTCTAGAAGGGCAATACATCCCAGGGCCATAGTCGCAGGGCAGGAGGCTGGCAAACAGGCCCCTCCAAAAACCAGTGGCGAGGTCACTTTTGCCACAATGACAAAAGAAGGAGAACAGGTGGAAGCGAAATACTATATCAAAAGTATCTAGGACAGACACCAGGGGGTAACCTTTGGAGAAAATTGTACATAAGAAAACAGAAAATCGTGATCTGTCCTATTAGTACCACTGGAATAGACAAAATATATTAAAATATAACATTTAATGGGTATAATTAAGAGGGAGTAACTGAAAAGCATGGGAACATAATTAGGGGGGAGGGCGGGGGGGAAAGAGAGAATAGAAAATAATTCACTGTACCATTTCTATATAGAAGAAGGAAATCTGAGTGGTAAAGCCAACGGGATTAAAAAGAGAGAATATACTGCTAAATTGCTATAGTGGAGAAATGTGTAATGAAAAGTATTTAACAACTTAACCAGTTCCCTAAATAGAAAGTGCAACACAAAGGAAAGAAACAAAGTAGCAATATGTACAGTTACAGCATATTTTGTTAGTAGCAAGAAACTATAGTACTTGGTGAACCTCAAAAAGGAGGGGATTATCACCTAAATGTCTTGAAAAAGGGATATAGATCCCTATAGTAGCTGTGTATAGATTAGTGAATGTATCAAAGTGTACAAATAAAGCAATATTAGGATGTTGGTAGATTGCGGAATGTGCATAGGGTACCTTGAGAGAATAGAAACGATATGAGGTGGAGCAGATTGAAGGCATAAATTGGCAATAAGTAATCCCTAAATCTGTATCTTCAAGGGCACTAAACGTCTGCTACAAATATACCTGGATGGGTTTCATCTAACAAACGGGCTGCCACCCAGGAAAGGCACACGCCAAGGCTACCCTTGCGGTTTTGACACCTCATTATGAGGTGCAAACGTTCTAAAACTACATTATAAATGGGATTTCGTGGTGGTCCCCATTCAGGAGTACTGCCATGAATGGGACTCCATTCGCCTCCTGAAACAGGTAGTTCTACAAACACAGTGAATGAAACGCAGATCAAGATAGGGAAAACACACCAAAGAGAGGTCAGGACAGTAACACACATTGCAGGGTAACCATTTTAGCGGGGTGGTTTCTGCTACATAGCTCCCCATTAACCATTGGTCGGCATCCGCAGGCAGTTCCTAACGGATTGGCCTGCTGATGTCCGGGGAAGCACCCACGGATCACTTGTCCAGGGTGGTCTGCCGGGACAGCCCATCAGCATTGCCATTTTGCGCACCGAGTCTGTAGTGGATGGTAAAGTCATACAGTTATAGGGCCAGGCTCCACCATAACAGACTGGAATTGTCCCCAGAGACCCGGTTAAGCCATACCAACGGGTTGTGATGCGTGAGCAGGGTAAATTGTTGTCATAGAAACATAGAATGTGACGACAGATAAGAACCATTCGGCCCATCTAGTCTACCCAATTTTCTAAATACTTTCATTAGTTCCTGGCCTTATCTTATAGTTAGGATAGCCTTATGCCTATCCCACGCATGCTTAAACTCCTTTACTGTGTTAACCTCTACCACTTCAGCTGGAAGGCTATTCCATGCATCCACTACCCTCTCAGTAAAGTAATACTTCCTGATATTATTTTTAAACCTTTGTCCCTCTAATTTAAGACTATGTCCTCTTGTTGTGGTAGTTTTTCTTCTTTTAAATATAGTCTCCTCCTTTACTGTGTTGATTCCCTTTATGTATTTAAATGTTTCTATCATATCCCCCCTGTCTTGTCTTTCCTCCAAGCTATACATGTTAAGATCCTTTAACCTTTCCTGGTAAGTTTTATCCCGCAATCCATGAACCAGTTTAGTATCACTTATGTGATTTCTGTACTTTTGTACTCCAGAAAGAGAGACCGACCGTTAGCCCTAATTCCCTGAAACTGTTTTGGGCATGGGACCATGTTCACGGTTGGTCATAAATATGACTTCCATGGAAATCACGAATCCCTGAACCGATCTGGGTGAGTTTTGGATATGTTGATCCCCCAGATCGGGGCTATCAGGGGATGTGACTTTTGTGGGGTTTCCATGTGTTTTTGGGATACTTTCGGAGGTTGTTAAAATGTATGTTTTCTGTGCCTGGAAATAATTGAGTTTAGTACAGTTCCTGACTCAATTATCTCTCAGGCACAGGGGAGGGATTACCTTGTTTTGTGTGGGAGTGTCCTGGACCTGAGAGCCAATGTAAGTAAAGTATGTATTTTGTCATAGTCCCCTCTCAGGTCCAGTGGGGAATACCCCTGAAATATGTTATGGAAAACCCCTTGCACGGTGACTTGACTGTGGCTACCATTAAACCAGTTCCTCTTCACCCTCAACATAGAGCCTCGTCTCATGTGTGGAGGGGACAGCTATATTCACTCTGGGGATTGTTATAATCGCTATACTCCCTTGGATTACAACACTTGCTCTTGTAAGAGCTTTCCTGCTGTACTCTCTGGATTGGGAGAGGTCTACCCACTGGAAGCTGGATCCTTGTCTTTGGTCCAGGGTTGGTGGAAGACAGCGAGACCCCAACCAAGCTGTAACGCTGGCTGTGGGGTTTACAGTAGTTATGGTGTCTGGTGGAGTGCTTAAGAGTACTCTGTGTTGCTAGGAAGCAGCGATTGGCGGAGGAACCCAGTTGGGGTGCCAGGCAGTCCATCACAGTATAATTACAGCTTATTGTAATAATACAGCTTAATGTATTATTACAGCTCATTATATTATTGCAGCTTATTGTATTATTACAGCTCATTGTATTATTACAATTCATTGTATTATTATTCATTGTATTATTACTGCTCATTGTATTATTACAGCTTATTGTATTATTTTATTATTACAGCTTGTTGTATTATTACAGCCTATTGTATTATTACAGTTCATTGTATTATTATTCATTGTATTATTACTGCTCATTGTATTATTACAGCTTATTGTATTTTATTATTACAGCTTGTTGTATTATTACAGTTCATTGTATTATTATAGCTCATTGTATTATTACAGTTCATTGTATTAATACAGCTTGTTGTATTATTACAGCACATTGAATTATTAAAGCTTGTCGTATAATTACAGCTCATTGTATTATTGTTTTATTACAGTTCATTGTATTATTACAGCTCTATTGTATTATTACAATTCATTGTATTATTATAGCTCATTGTATTATTACAGTTCATTGTATTAATACAGCTTGTTGTATTATTACAGCACATTGAATTATTAAAGCTTGTCGTATAATTACAGCTCATTGTATTATTGTTTTATTACAGTTCATTGTATTATTACAGCTCTATTGTATTATTACAATTCATTGTATTATTATAGCTCATTGTATTATTACAGTTCATTGTATTAATACAGCTTGTTGTATTATTACAGCACATTGAATTATTAAAGCTTGTCGTATAATTACAGCTCATTGTATTATTGTTTTATTACAGTTCATTGTATTATTACAACTCGTATTATTACAGCTTGTCATATTATTAAAGCTCATTGTATTATTGTATTTTTACAGTTCATTGTATTATTATTCATTGTTTTATTACAGTTCATTGTATTATTACAGCTTATTGTATTATTTTATTATTACAGGTTGTCGTATTATTACAGCTCATTGTATTATTGTTTTATTACAGTTCATTGTATTATTACAGCTTGCTGTATTATTACAGCTTGTTGTATTATTACAGCTCATTGAATTACTAGTTCACTGACGCTCTCCAATTTTCATGTGGTTTTACAAAAAATGCCACCTGTAGCTTGATCCGTGCAATTCTGAAATGATTTGAAGCTCAGGGAATGGCATTCAATGTTTCTATACACCATAACCACCACAATGAACTGTAGTGGTTGTGGTGTTTACTCTCATAAAGAATAAAGTGCAGTTTGTTACATTCTGAAACGTTACTGCTGGCAGCAATGCTTTCTGGGAAATAAGTAAAAACAAGTTTTAAATAAACAGTCGTATTCCAGTATGAAACAGTGCAACTGAAGGAGGAATTACACAGCTAGAACCCACTAGAGGGCAGCAGAGAGTCTCCGAGACAGTTTAAAGGGGAAGTTGCACTATTTAACATGGCTTGGGCGGAGTACTTCCTTTACAGCAGTAACAATGAGTCTCAATGCTGCGGTTTCTCTGAAATACTCTTTCATAATCGTGTTGTATTTTTCCACGCATTTCAAGCTATATTTCTGCATTATAACAGAATGCGTGAGATCCATTATTGCTGGATCTAGAAAATGTTCAGCACAAAAAGAAACAAAAAATAAAAATACATCAATAATAAACATTATAAACAGTGATAGTTATAAAAAAAAAAACTTATAACAGCAATAATCCAAGCCAATAAATGAGGCAGCCAGTCCGACATGCTCCGTTATCGCTATACTCAGCGGCCTTTCTTTATTCATAGAATATAGCTACATTTCATTTTAAAAGATGGCGATGTCTGATTGGCCGGCGTTATATTTATGATAAATTATAGGCTAAAAAACAAAGAGAGAATTAAAAGGAAAGCTGGTCTCGTTGCCATTGGCTTTCTCACATGGTGACTTTGTCCGCAAAGACAGATATTTAATGTCAATCTGTTGTCAATATTATAATGCTAATCCCACAGCGCTTCACGATATCGATGTGGGAATATAACACGTTACAAAGTATTTTATACAGGAAGTAATTATTATTGTGAATCCTGCTGGAAAGAGCTGGAAGTCTGGAGTCTGATACTTTATTTGTAGCCAATTCATTAACAATAATTAGGCCAGTTATCAATAATGGCGTTGGCGGAGCTCTCACTGGACTTTTAATGTTAGTATTTTGTTTATATGCACCGGTGTTTATCGTGGTCGTATTATGTCGCTTTTCTCGGACACGTTTAAACATCTCCCCATTGGGAACATGTTACTGTTCCCTTTGACAGTATAAGTGTTATCTATTGGGGCAGAACCACTGTTCATTCTTGTATTTTCCCCTTTGTGTTATGTGTTTCCCCTGGCTTTTTCGTGTATTTTGCCCTGTTTCCCCGTTTGGGAGCATTCATATGAACGGAACCCATTCGTCTCACGAACGGGGAACAACCCAGTGCCCCATTAGAGTGTTCACACCTAATTAATGACAACGTTCACACCGGTAACATAAGTGTGAAACCGCTAGGGGAGTAATTAATAAGCGCTCCCCTGGGTGGCCGCCAGTTCGAATAGACAAACGCCAACCAGGGGGAGCATTCGTATTGTGAAAGGAGACGTCCCTTTCCTGGGGTTCGCACAAGAGCCGCGCCAACGGAGACCAGTCGGGGAAATGTACAGTGTGGGGGTTCCTAAGGTTGGTGGGGACACGTTTGGGGCAGTGACTAGTTTGGCGGGCTTTCTGTGCCTGGGAAACAAAGAAACAAGGTCCCTTTTCCCACGCCCGGACTCCCAGGTACGGAGGATCCTGGGATGGAAACTCCTGTGTGTCTGTGTGGACGACCCCTTGTAAAGGGTTATGCATAAAATCAGTGTGTGGCTTAATAAAATTGTGTTGTACTCCCAGAGCTGTGTCTTGTCCAGTTACTGGGGGGAAATGGATGCCTGCTCATTGTAAGGGTTCCTAAGTGGCTGAAGGAAGGTATTAGCAAAGGTAACAGGTCGGGTTACCCGTGGTCTGCTACAATTGGTAGTCCGATTAGCCGGAGCTAAAACGAAACAAAGTAGATGAACAAGAGGATTTAGTGATAGCCGTAAATCGAGAAGTAAAAACGGAGGGAGCCACAACATCATGGCAACTTTTTTCTTTTTCTTCTTTTTTCTTTCATTGTTTTTTGTAAGTTACATACACAAAGAAACACAACAGAGAAAGGTGCCAAATGCAGACACTCTTTATCGAACAGGGCCCTGTGGAAAACAACACTTTATAGATCAGCACTGAAAAAAACACAGGTGGCCTTAAAACTACAATTAACAATTTTAAATGTAAAAAAATAAATAAATACACAAATGAACAGTGGTTCTGCCTCATCTATTATCTGTATAATGAGCTGACCTGGTTAGTGCCCTTTCTGTCTGGAATCCTGATCCACATGTGGTGTGACTGGTTCTCACCATCGGAGGGTGACAGAGCTGGTTTCCAGACGTTTATTGTGATCTTGGAATGCCTGGAATGCCAGGGGTTAATAGCTCTCTGAAGCCCATGGAATGTCCTTCCTCTTCCTATCAGATCCACAAAAAAATCCCTAAAAACCCATTTCTCTAAGGAAGCTTATCGAATAACCAATCGACCCCTCCCAAAGCACACTGTGCTTCTGAGCTCACACAAGTAACCGCGCTAACCCTATTTCACCTTATTCTTACTAATACCATGTGTCATTTCATTTAGATAAATACCACAGCAATCATTCTCACTATTTTAATCATATGAGTGAACATTGGAGAAATGTCAGGTAATTTAAAGGAAAAATGTAAAGGCATAGTCTAAGCACCAAAATGTCTTCATCTTAATTTCCAAAAACAAATCTCTCTACTAGGAGGCAAGGCGTATGGCCTCCCAGAGTAACCTCTGTCTCTGTCTCTTGCTCTCTCGTAAAGGGCCACACTCGACTCTCTGCTCCAGTTATGCTGTTATAAGATTGTTGTTTGATTGTCCTTCTTGATGTGTTTTATACCCACCTCCTCGACACTGTAATCTCGTTTTAGCATCTACCTACTATTCCTGTAACATTTTGTAATTGTCTCATTTATTGCAGAATTTCCCCCTTTTTCTAATACTGTAAAGCACTGCGGAATAAGTTGGCCCTATTGTAAATGCCAATAAGGGCAGCCCTGCACGAGATACAGCAACAACGGACGATCGTTTCGGCCTGCTTTGGGCCTCGTCAGCAAGGTGTAGCTGATACCCCGCTCGGTACAGTGAGCAAGCTTGTGTCCGTTCTCAGAGTTTTCATGTTCTTTGGATTTTTTGTTGCATTGGAACTGGTTTTCTATGTGTTGGCACAAGACTGGCACGGGGACTAATCAAAGCTACCGAGTACCTCTAAGCTTTTGTCCTTTTTCAGAGTTCTCATATTCTTTGTTTTTGTTGTAAAATCTAAGATGAATGGTAAAGTTTAGACAGCAGAAGCCTAGCATTGCGTGGGTTAATAAGCACATTCTGTTTTAATGTTCGGAAGCAGGGAGTTTGGCTTTGTGGAGTTAATAGGTAAGCTTAGTGGTAAAGTTCAGTGAGTCTGGGACTGAGGGGTTAACATCTACATTCGGTGTTAATAATAATAATATTCTTAGGAAATCTATAATTTTGGTAATGTCAGACAGCTGTCTGGTATTGTGTCTGGTATTGTGAGCGCTAGGAGCTAAGATTAGTGATAATAGGAAGGCAGGTGGCATTAATAGATAAATGATGGTTATTTTAAGATAGACGCAGTCTGGCATTTCAAGGATTAATAGCTGTGCCCACCGGGAATGTTATTTTATATTGAGGGGTTAATAAGGTAGTGTTCAGACAGAGAGAATCTGGCATTGCAGGGGTTAAGGGCTAAGATTGGTGGTACAGTTCACACAAGGACAGCCTGGCATTGTGGGGTTTTCTAGCTAAGAAGATCAATAGTAAGTTTTAGTCAAGGACCACAGTGTTTGAGAATATTCTAGTATTGCATGGGTTAAACAGGGTGACGGGTTCCTGGGCAGTCTGGCATTCCATGGGTTAATGGCAAAGCAGAACAGGTTGGCATTATTCAGAGATGGTGGGCAAGGGGTTTCTGTGCATTCAGCATTGCATGGGTTAATCTCTACACAGCCTACTATAAGTGCTAAATGGAAAATCTGAGTGATTATGTTCCAGCACAGGGAGTCTGACATTGTGGGGGTAATGGGTAATCTGGAACAGAGGGAACCTAGCATAGTGTGGATAGGTGGTTAGGAGCTAACATATTGATAATAATCAGACAATGGCTGCAACCATGGCATTGAGGAGGTTAGTAGCTAAGTACTGTCCAGGGGCAGTTTGATATGGGTGGGGGGGCATTGAGGAGTTCATTATAGTTAGTGGTACATTTTAGGAAAGAGATGGACAGCCTGGCATTGCAGGAGTTAATATTTAAGCCGCACACTCTAGATGCTGAATGTAATGTTCAGGCTGGGGGTGGGCAGTCTGGCAGTGCAGGGGTTAATATTTAAGCAGCACTCTCTAGCTGCTCAATGTAATGTTCAGACTGGGGTGGACAGCCTAGGAGTGCAAGGGTTAGTATTTACGTTGCTCAATTGTACAGTTTAGGCAGAGAGTAGGCGCCTTGCAATGCATGGGTTAATATATTAAACAATACATTATAACTGTTTAGTTGGTAGTGGGATCTGGGGCGGGCAGCCTGACAAAGCATGAGTTAATGTTTAAACAGCAGACCATAGCTAGCTACTCTGTGGCAGAGGGAGAAAAGGTTTCCTGTGCAGCCTGGCAGTACAGGGGTTAATATTTAAGCAGGACACTCTAGCTGCTCAATTTAATGTTCATGGGCAGTCTGGCAGTGCAGGGGTTAATATTTAAGCAGGACACTCTAGCTGCTCAATTTAATGTTCAGGGTGTGGGCAGCCTGGCAGTGCAGGGGTTAATATTTAAGCAGGACACTGTAGCTGCTCAATGTAATGTTCAGGTTGGGGGTGGGCAGCCTGGCAGTGCAGGGGTTAATATTTAGGCAGGACACTGTAGCTGCTCAATGTAATGTTCAGGTTGGGGGTGGGCAGCCTGGCAGTGCAGGGGTTAATATTTAGGCAGGACACTGTAGCTGCTCAATGTAATGTTCAGGTTGGGGGTGGGCAGCCTGGCAGTGCAGGGGTTAATATTTAAGCAGGACACTCTAGCTGCTCAATGTCATGTTCAGGGTGAGGGTGTGCAGTCTGGCAGTGCAGGGGTTAATATTTAAGTAGAACACTCTAGCTGCTCAATATATTGTTCGTGCTGGGAGTGAGCAGCCTGGCGATGCAGGGGTTAATATGTACACAGCACTCTCTAGCTGCTCAATGTAATGTTCAGGCAGGGGGTGAGCTGCCTGGCAGTGCAGAGGTTAACATTTAAGCAGTACAATCTAGCTGCTCAATGTAATGTCCAGGCTGGGGGTGGGCAGCCATGCAGTGCAGGGGTTAATATTTAAGCATTACACTCTAGCTGCTCAATGTAATGTTCAGGCTGGGGGTGGGCAGCCTGGCAGTGCAGGGGTTAATATTTAAGCATTACACTCTAGCTGCTCAATGTAATGTTCAGGCTGGGGGTGAGCAGCCTTTGCGATGCAGGGTTTAATATGTACACAGCAGATTCTAGCTGCTTAATTTAATGTTCAGGCTGGGGGTGGGCGGCCTGGCAGTGCAGGGGTTAATATTTACACAGCACTCTCTAGCTGCTCAATGTAATGTTCAGGCTGGGGGTGGGCAGCCTGGCAGTGCAGGGGTTAATATTCAAGTAGGACACTCTAGCTGCTCCATATAATGTTCGTGCTGGGAGTGAGCAGCCTGGCGATGCAGGGGTTAATATGTACACAGCACTCTCTAGCTGCTCAATGTAATGTTCAGGCAGGGGGTGAGCTGCCTGGCAGTGCAGAGGTTAACATTTAAGCAAGACACTCTAGCTGCTCAATGTAATGTTCAGGCTGGGGGTGGGCAGCCTGGCAATGCAGAAGTTAATATTTAAGCAGGATACTCTAGCTACTCAATGTAATGTTCAGGCTGGGGGTGAGCCGCCTAGCAGTGCAGGGGTTAATATTTAAGCAGGACACTGTAGCTGCTCAATGTAATGTTCAGGTTGGGGGTGAGCAGCCTGACAGTGCAGGGGTTAATATTTAAGCAGGACACTCTAGCTGCTCAAAGTAATATTCAGGCTGGGGGTGGGCAGCCTGGCAGTGCAGGGGTTAATATTTAAGCAGGGCACTCTAGCTGCTCAATATAATGTTCAGGCTGGGGGTGGGCAGCCTGGCAGTGCAGGGGTTAATATTTAAGCAGGACACTCTAGCTGCTCAATTTAATGTTCAGGGTGAGGATGGGCAGCCTGGCAGTGCAGGGGTTGATATTTAAGCAGGACACTCTAGCTGCTCAATGTAATGTCCAGGCTGGGGTGGGCAGCCTGGCAGTGCAGGGGTAAATATTTAAGCAGGACACTCTAGCTGCTCAATGTCATGTTCAGGGTGAGGGTGGGCAGCCTGGCAGTGCAGGGTTAATATTTAAGCAGGACACTCTAGCTGCTCAATGTAATGTTCAGGCTGGGGGTGGGCAGCCTGGCAGTGCAGGGGTTACTATTTAAGCAGGACACTCTAGCTGCTCAATGTAATGTTCAGGCAGGGGGTGAGCAGCCTTTGCGATGCAGGGGTTAATATGTACACAGCACACTCTAGCTGCTCAATTTAATGTTCAGGGTGAGGATGGGCAGCCTGGGAGTGCATGGGGTTAATATTTAAGCAGGACACTCTAGCTGCTCAATGTAATGTTTAGGCTGGAGGTGGGCAGTCTGGCAGTGCAGGGGTTAATATTTAAGCAGGACACTCTAGCTGCTCAATGTAATGTTCAGGCTGGGTGTGAGCAGCCTAGCGATACAGGGATTAATATGTACACAGCACACTCTAGCTGCTCAATTTAATGTTCAGGGTGAGGATGGGCAGCCTGGCAGTGCAGGGGTTAATATTTAAGAAGGACACTCTAGCTGCTCAATGTTATGTCCAGGCTGGGGGTGGGCAGCCTGGCAGTACAGGGGTTAATATTTACACAGCACTCTCTAGTTGCTCAATGTAATGTTCAGGCTGGTGGTGGGCAGCCTGGTAGTGCAGGGGTTAATATTTAAGCAGGACATTCTAGCTGCTCAATGTAATGTTAAGGCTGGAGGTGGTAGGCAGTGCAGGGGTTAATATTTAAGCAGGACACTCTAGCTGCTCAATGTAATGTTTAGGCTGGAGGTGGGCAGTCTGGCAGTGCAGGGGTTAATTTTTAAGCAGGACACTCAAGCTGCTCAATGTAATGTTCAGGCTGGGTGTGAGCAGCCTGGCGATACAGGGGTTAATATGTACACAGCACACTCTAGCTGCTCAATTTAATGTTCAGGGTGAGGATGGGCAGCCTGGCAGTGCAGGGGTTAATATTTAAGCAGGACACTCTAGCTGCTCAATGTATTGTCCAGGCTGGGGTGGGCAGCCTGGCAGTGCAGGGGTTAATATTTAAGCAAGCCACTCTAGCTGCTGAATGTAATGTTCGGGCTGGGGGTGGACAGCCTGGGAGTGCAGGGCTTAATATTTAGGCAGTACGCTCTAGCTGCTCAATGTAATGTTCAGGGTGAGGATGGGCAGCCTGGCAATGCAGGGGTTAATATTTAAGCAGGACACTCTAGCTGCTCAATGTTATGTCCAGGCTGGGGGTGGGCAGCCTGGCAGTACAGGGGTTAATATTTAAGCAGGACACTCTAGCTGCTCAATGTAATGTTCAGGCTGGGGGTGGGCAGCCTGGCAGTGCAGGGGTTAATATTTAAGCAGGACACTGTAGTTGCTCAATGTAATGTTCAGGCTGGAGGTGGGCAGCCTGGCAGTGCAGGGGTTAATATTTAAGCAGGACACTCTAGCTGCTCAATGCAATGTTCAGGCTGGGGGTGGGCAGCCTGGCAGTGCAGGGTTAATATTTAAGCAGGACACTCTAGCTGCTCAATGTAATGTTCAGGCTGGGGGTGGGCAGCCTGGCAGTGCAGGGGTTAATATTTAAGCAGGACACTCTAGCTGCTCAATGTAATGTTCAGGCTGGGGGTGGGCAGCCTGGCAGTGCAGGGGTTAATATTTAAGAAGGACACTCTAGCTGCTCAATGTCATGTTCAGGCTGAGGGTGGGCAGCCTGGCAGTGCAGGGGTTAATATTTACACAGCACACTCTAGCTGTTCAATGTAATGTTCAGGCTGGGGGTGGGCAGCCTGGCAGTGCATGGGTTAATATTTAAGCAGGACACTCTAGCTGCTCAATGTAATGTTCAGACTGGGGGTGGGCAGCCTGGCAGTGCAGAGGTTAATATTTAAGCAAGCCACTCTAGCTGCTGAATGTAATGTTCGGGCTGGGGGTGGACAGCCTGGGAGTGCAGGGCTTAATATTTAGGCAGTACGCTCTAGCTGCTCAATGTAATGTTCAGGGTGATGATGGGCAGCCTGGCAGTGCAGGGGTTAATATTTAAGCAGGACACTCTAGCTGCTCAATGTATTGTCAGGCTGGGGGTGGGCAGCCTGGCAGTGCAGGGGTTAATATTTAAGCAAGCCACTCTAGCTGCTGAATGTAATGTTCGGGCTGGGGGTGGACAGCCTGGGAGTGCAGGGCTTAATATTTAGGCAGTACGCTCTAGCTGCTCAGTGTAATGTTCAGGGTGAGGATGGGCAGCCTGGCAATGCAGGGGTTAATATTTAAGCAGGACACTCTAGCTGCTCAATGTTATGTCCAGGCTGGGGGTGGGCAGCCTGGCAGTACAGGGGTTAATATTTAAGCAGGACACTCTAGCTGCTCAATGTCATGTTCAGGCTGAGGGTGGGCAGCCTGGCAGTGCAGGGGTTAATATTTACACAGCACACTCTAGCTGTTCAATGTAATGTTCAGGCTGGGGGTGGGCAGCCTGGCAGTGCATGGGTTAATATTTAAGCAGGACACTCTAGCTGCTCAATGTAATGTTCAGACTGGGGGTGGGCAGCCTGGCAGTGCAGGGGTTAATATTTAGGCAGGACACTCTAGCTGCTCAATGTCATGTTCAGTTTGGGTGTGGGCAGCCTGGCAGTGCAGGGGTTAATATTTAAGCAGGACACTCTAGCTGCTCAATGTAATGTTCAGGCTGGGGGTGGGCAGCCTGGCAGTGCATGGGTTAATATTTAAGCAGGACACTCTAGCTGCTCAATGTAATGTTCAGGCTGGGGGTGGGCAGCCTGGCAGTGCAGGGGTTAATATTTAAGCAGGACACTCTAGCTGCTCAATGTCATGTTCAGGGTGAGGGTGTGCAGCCTGGCAGTGCAGGGGTTAATATTTAGGCAGGACACTCTAGCTGCTCAATGTCATGTTCAGTTTGGGTGTGGGCAGCCTGGCAGTGCAGGGGTTAATATTTAAGCAGGACACTCTAGCTGCTCAATGTCATGTTCAGGCTGGGGGTGGGCAGCCTGGCAGTGCAGGGGTTAATATTTAGGCAGGACACTCTAGCTGCTCAATGTAATGTTCAGGCTGGGGGTGGGCAGCCTGGCAGTGCAGGGATTAATATTTAGGCAGGACACTCTAGCTGCTCAATGTCATGTTCAGGGTGAGGGTGTGCAGCATGGCAGTGCAGGGGTTAATATTTAAGCAGGACACTCTAGCTGCTCAATGTAATGTTCAGGCTGGGGGTGGGCAGCATGGCAGTGCAGGGGTTAATATTTAAGCAGGACACTCTAGCTGCTCAATGTAATGTTCAGGCTGGGGGTGGGCAGCCTGGCAGTGCAGGGGTTAATATTTAAGCAGGACACTCTAGCTGCTCAATGTCATGTTCAGTTTGGGTGTGGGCAGCCTGGCAGTGCAGGGGTTAATATTTAAGCCGGACACTCTAGCTGCTCAATGTCATGTTCAGGGTGAGGGTGTGCAGCATGGCAGTGCAGGGGTTAATATTTAAGCAGGACACTCTAGCTGCTCAATGTCATGTTCAGGCTGGGGGAGCAGAAGGTTCTTGTGAATGTTTAGGCAGCTGATTCTGTTAACTAGTTCCCTCTCCTAACTTCCTCTCACTCACTTCCTTCTGCTGTGCAGAGACTTAAACTGACTCTCCCACATAGAAACGCCCTGAACTCAGCACATCTAGTTATAGCCCAGAGCTTGTTATCTAAAGCCACCACCAAAACTTCTTCCTCAGCCTTAACAGAATTTGTCCCCAGCCACTAGCAGCCACCACCAGAACTTCTTCTCTGAACACTATCAGGACATCTACCAAAGCCACCGCCAGAACATCTCTAACCACTGTCAGAGCATATCCCAGAGCCATCTCCAGAACTTCTTCTCTGACCACCATCAGAACATTGGCCCAGGCCACCACCAGGACCTCTCCAGCAGCCACCAGATCTTGTCTCCAGAGCAGGACCTTTTCTCTATTCATTTTAAGAAGCTCAAAGCATTCAAGAGAACATCTACCACTCACAGTACATAGTCCACCAACCAGAGGACATCTCTCCTGTACAAAGCTATGATCGGTGAGTTATCCCCCCTAAATCCTATCCCTGGGTGGGATTATTTGAGGGGTCTGAATAGGAGATGCTGAAAAGGGTTTGATTTGGGACATTTGTTTGAATGATCATGGGTATCTATGCGATAGCGAATTTCTGTGTTTGCATATGTCTGACTGTGAATTGATTTAACATTTCTGAGTGTGAGTTGTTGATAGAGGTCTGAGTTGAGCCTTAACCGATGGTCCTTAATCCTAGGTCAGGACCCAAAATGGTGTTTCAGAGGTATTTCATTGGGTCCAGGTAGCTGGCTACAATATATGACTTTCTATAGTGTTACGGTCTTCTCCAGTGCAATAGACGATACGGACTGGTTGACAGTGGGAAGAGGGTTTACAAAAAGTATTTTCTTATATGTAATATGTATTAACAAAGAATGGGTCACTGAGCTAATTTTAATGGGTCACCACCAAGCAACGGCTATGTACATTAGTTCGCATCCCGTCAAAACAAGGTTAATGACCTCTCTCCGTAAGGGTCCTTAAAACAGATGACAAAAGGCAATATAGTCCAAGTGAACGAAGAGAGCACGGTAAGTGTCACAGGTAGATGTTTCTAACAGAGAGTGAGAGGTACCAGTGTCTGATGTATAGGACCTCCAGGTACCTGGCTAGAATACTGGCTTTAATGCTCCATACGGTTCAAAGATGAATGAACTTAGGGGGTCTCAGAAGGATGAGTAACACACTCACTGAATTTCCCTCAATATAATCACCACCACCGTTGCCCTCAAGGAGTTAATAATAGACCATTCTTTGGAATCATTGTGAGCGACCCATCCCTTATTAAATAACTCCAGTCATTATCCATCGAAGCAAAGAGGAAACTGACACTTAGAACTGGAAATTATATATAGAGCCATCATATTGGAGGCTGGGAAACAAACTATTAATAATTCAGAAAGTGGTCTTTAACCCTTTTCATGCCAGTGGAAAGTAGATAGCACATCCTCCTTTTGGGAAACTATGACACCGTGTTTTAATGTTTTCGCCTGCCCCTGGGTTATACCAACATGGTAACGTGACACCTAATGGAGGGAAATAAATGGCCACGAAGAGTGGCCCTAAACAGTGGCATTTAAAAAGTGGGAGAAGAACCAAAAGATTTGGGAAAGGAGATAATAATGGATGCATCTGATGCTGGGTGTGAATATTTACCCATACTGTGTCTGTAGCTGGGTGAGGGTTGGGTACCATGGCTGAGTTTGTGGCTGAATGGGGGCTAAGATCCCAGGCTTTATAAGTGACATGATAAGGGGTGGGTACCAATCTCTAGCTGCTGTGGAGTGGGTACCAGGCTGTATCTGTGGCAGGGTGAGGGATGGGTACCAGGCTGTATCTGTGGCAGGGTGAGGGGTGGATACCAGTCTGTATGTGTGGCAGGGTGAGGGGTGGGTAACCAGGCTCTAACTGTTGCAGGGTGAGGTGTTGGTACCAGGCTGTATCTGTGGCAAGGTAAGGTGTTGGTACCAGGCTGTATCTGTGGCTGGGTTAAGTGTGGGTACCAGGCTGTATCCGTGTGGCTGGGTGAGGGGTGGGTACCAGGCTGTATCTGTGGCAGGGCAAGGGGTGGGTCCCAGGCTGTATCTGTGGCTGGGTGAGGGGTGGGTACTAGGCTATATCTGTGGCAGTGTGAGGGGTGGGTACCAGGCTGTATATGTGGCTGGGTGAGGGGTGGGTACCAGGCTGTATCTGTGGCAGGGCGAGGGGTGGGTACCAGGCTGTATCTGTGGCAGGGTGAGGGGTGGGTACCAGGCTGTATATGTTGCTGGGTGAGGGGTGGGTACCAGGCTGTATCGGTGGCAGGGCGAGGGGTGGGTGCCAGGCTGTATCTGTGGCAGTGTGAGGGGCGGGTACCAGGCTGTATATGTGGCTGGGTGAGGGGTGGGTACCAGGCTGTATCTGTGGCAGGGCGAGGGGTGGGTACCAGGCTGTATCTGTGGCTGGGTGGGGGGTGGGTCCCAGGCTGTATCTGTGGCTGGGTGACGGGTGGGTCCCAGGCTGTATTTGTGGCTGGGTGAAGGGTGGGTACTAGGCTATATCTGTGGCAGTGTGAGGGGGGTACAGCCACAGGCTGTATATGTGGCTGGGTGAGGGGTGGGTACCAGGCTGTATCTGTGGCAGGGCGAGGGGTGGATACCAGGCTGTATCTGTGGCAGGGAGAGGGGTGGGTACCAGGCTGTATATGTTGCTGGGTGAGGGGGTGGGTACCAGGCTGTATCTGTGGCAGGCGGTGGGTCCCAGGCTGTATCTGGCTGGGCGAGGGGTGGATACCAGGCTGTATCTGTGGCAGTGTGAGGGGCGGGTACCAGGCTGTATATGTGGCTGGGTGAGGGGTGGGTACCAGGCTGTATCGGTGGCAGGGCGAGGGGTGGGTGCCAGGCTGTATCTGTGGCAGTGTGAGGGGCGGGTACCAGGCTGTATATGTGGCTGGGTGAGGGGTGGGTACCAGGCTGTATCTGTGGCAGGGTGAGGGGTGGGTACCAGGCTGTATCTGTAGCAGGGTGAGGTGTTGGTACCAGGCTGTATCTGTAGCAGGGTGCGGTGTTGGTACCAGGCTGTATCTGTGGCAGAGTGAGGGGTGGGTACCAGGCTGTATCTGTAGCAGAGTGAGGTGTTGGTACCAGGCTGTATCTGTGGCAGAGTGAGGGGTGGGTACCAGGCTGTATCTGTAGCAGAGTGAGGTGTTGGTACCAGGCTTTATCTGTGGCTGGGTGCGGTGTTGGTACCAGGCTTTATCTGTGGCTGGGTGCGGTGTTGGTACCAGGCGGTATCCGTGTGGTGAGGTTCCAGTACAGGGCGTCTTTAGGGTATATGTTCAATTCAGTGTATTTGCAAACTGTTGAAAAGTGACAGGAAATTTAGAAATGCCGCTGTGGATGGGCTCATAGTGATCTCTAGTGGAGTATCTCAGCTTTATGCTCAGACATTACTCATTGCTAAAGTTCTAATCATGTCTTCTCCTTTGAAGCTTCACCAGTTGGAGAAGCAAGTGACTGGAAAGGTTTTTGGGACAATGGGATTCGTGGTGGGGGATCGTGGTGATTTTTACAATACAGATTATAACTAGTAACGTGTTTTGGCAACTAGCATCTATCTTTGCATACTTGGTATCGGTTCATGTTCCATTTTGGTAATAATTTCCATACAATTCTCTTTTTGCAAGTAGCCCATATTAAGCTCGAAAGCTTGTAAAAGTTGGTCAGCCGATACAAAAGATCCTAATAGTCCTGGCTTAAAGTTTCAAGTCTTACGCCCATTAATAAGGCTTTTAAAGTTACGTGCCACTGCAAAGCTGGCACACTCACCAGGGCTGAATTCCTACATGCCAGGGCTAGTGGTAAGTGGAAATGTTGAGAACTGGTCATAGTACATAATGCCCTTAGAATACATAGCTATCTTGACTATCCATCTCACACCTAACATCCTCCTAACCTCAACACAACTTTTTCTTTATGGCTCTCAAGCTACTTGGTTGAATCTTTGTCTTCCTTAGGCTCCCCTCTTATTCTCAAAACTATGTTTGGGGGGAAGAGGGGGATCCAGACAATGCACTCAGTTTGCTTGGCGGATACAACCAAGCAAAATTTACCATGGAGAGATCACCTCTATTGAAGTTACATGGAATTATATGAAGAAAAAAGAAAAAAACTACCATTAAGTGTCTCAACTTCATAATAGATATTGTCACACTTGGAATGAACTGTGACATAGAAACATAGAATGTGACAGCAGATAAGAACCATTCGGCCCATCTAGTCTGCCCAATTTTCTAAATACTTTCATTAGTCCCTGGCCTTATCTTATAGTTAGGATAGCCTTATGCCTATCCCACGCATGCTTAAACTCCTTTACTGTGTTAACCTCTACCACTTCAGCTGGAAGGCTATTCCATGCATCCACTACCCTCTCAGTAAAGTAATACTTCCTGATATTATTTTTAAACCTTTTGTCCCTCTAATTTAAGACTATGTCCTCTTGTTGTGGTAGTTTTTCTTCTTTTAAATATAGTCTCCTCCTTTACTGTGTTGATTCCCTTTATATATTTAAATGTTTCTATCATATCCCCCCTGTCTCGTCTTTCCTCCAAGCTATACATGTTAAGATCCTTTAACCTTTCCTGGTAAGTTTTATCCCGCAATCCATGAACCAGTTTAGTAGCCCTTCTCTGAACCCTCTCTAAGGTATCAATATCCTTCTGAAGATACGGTCTCCAGTACTGCGTACAGTAATGGGATCTATTATGACGTTGAGACAGTTAATGGTAGTTTTTTTCTTTTTTCTTTATAGAAGTTAACAATTTAGGGGTTATCCCCCATTTTTTCCTACCAGTATTGTGTCTCATATCTTTATTTAGGCTCTGTTCTTTTCTTTTTTGAGTTACCTATACCTGGAATTATATTTCTGTAAAGGGTAGGCACTCTTCCAACAAAGGACAGTACCTCCCTGAAATTATGCTTAAAGACAGCATGAGCATACTTATTACATCCATTTATATTCACATGCCTAGTGTCCTTTAAGGCAAGACTTCATTCGGGCTGCCTGTGAGTGGGGCCATGCTATTGGCCTATCTGTTCTGGGATAGCACCACGAGATGGGGTTCCAGTGCCCACAGGAGAGAGAATCAAGATGGCTTGTTACTTCCAAGATGCCCTCGTATCACTGTGTTGTGGATAGCCTGGAAAGTAGTGGTGGTGGTGATAGACAGATACCAAAATATGAACAATTAATATAGCATTACCCATACTGAACATACAAAGGAAGATGAAGTCCCCTGCGTGAGTCACGTCTGTTGATGGTGAGCCCTTGCAGGGTGAGGACACAATGCTGGACATCAGATGTCACGGTGCCTATAATTTATGTGACAGCAGTGATGACATCAACACACCTGACCCAAGATTTAACTGTTGATTGCCTGTACAGTTTATCTCCATCTTGGTCAGGGCGATTGGGAACTTATATCGAAGGCATTAGTCCGTTCCCGGTGAATCCAGACTTGGTGGGTGAGGGCTTTTTATTCTTCTCTGGAGAAGACTCTTCAAGAGTCAGATGTAAAAGAACATACAGGTCTAGAGCAGTAATAAGCTAACTCGGGTATGCTGTAGGGGATTGTCAGACTCCACTCGGCATAGCCTTGTGTGCTAGATCAGGGTCAGTCATATAAAACATATATCTGGAGTTTCAAGACACCGGTCTAACTGAGGACAAAAACAAACTCCATTTATAACAGACTTCAAAATAGCACATTGCATTGTACTGATAGTGGTTTTAGTCTGAAGTTGTTTGTGGTTTGTCACTTCATTCTCACCGGCACAGCTTAAGGACTTGTCATTGTGACCAATACAGTAAAGATGATGGACTTTTTAATGCTAACTATACGAACTCACAAATCTTGTAGGAGTCTCCGTTTCAGAACCTGGAACCTACTGTATAGGAATCCACTTGCATCTTCCATCCCCCATCACAAAACTTGGAACCCAGAGGGATCTTTCATCTGGTTCTCCGTTTCATTTTAAGCAAGTTCTTAACTTTAGGTAAATTTCGCCAGCAATCAACTTTGTCTATAATTTTTTTAGGCTGTGACTGTGCTACAATGCCCTTACCTGGTCATTAAAGGGACACTCTGTGTACCACTTTAATGCATAAAACTTAGCCTCATTAATATGCACAATTTGCATAAATAAATAAATGTTTTGAAGAATGCTGCGCAATAAGCCTGCCTCCTTAGCCACGCCCCCTCACTGTAGAAAAATACTTCCTTATTAGTGTATATACACCATCTAAGCCTCACCAACACTGAGTGAGCAGCTTTTAATTCACAACCTGGTAGACAGAGAAACTACAAACCGGTTGTGATGTCCTTACAATATGTCTCCCTGGTTGTCCTCTCCTCCTCCTAATGCAGGGCGTTTTGTTGTTCATTCAGTGCTCTATGTGGCTGAGCTGTGTACATACATTTGATAAAGACTTTTTCTGGAGTGAGGGGACGTGGCTAAAGACGCCAGGTTATGGTGCAACATTCTGCAAAATGATTTTTTTAATGCATAACCAATAAATATTTGTGTAACGCAAAAAAATACAGTGTATTAATGAGGCCAAGAAATCAAATGCTTGCATAGGTGCCCGAGTGTCCATTGAAGTAAAATGGAGTGAATGCTACTTGAGGTCCATGTTAATACAAACCAAATGTCCTGAACCTTAATTCTTCACACCTGTTTGTTTACTATGTATTGATTGGTTCTAGGGTTGCCACCTTTTTTAGAAAAAAATACCGTCCATGCTAATTTGCATAAATAATTATATATGCATGACGTACATAAGCGAATGAGAATCATTTGGAAGGAGAAAGTTCCCTGAACCACTGATAAAATAATTACAATGTGTGACACAGATGCTGGAAAAATACACCACTTCTAATAGACCCAGTAGAGCGCTCATGTTAATTAATAGGGAAATTGGAGTGGTTAGAAGATATATGTGTAACACACTCACATGGCATAGAACCTAGGCAGGATAGGCTCAGGTCACAATCGCAGGGGGATATAGATAATATGTAGGAGGACCCAGGTGCTCAGGAGAAAGAAGAAGCTGGAACACATGCTCCTAGTGTATTATCCTCAGGTGAGCACCTTTTACAGAGCCAAACAAGCTGGGCTCTCCGTGTAATGGGCACTGTGCCTTTAAGAGCAGGAAAGTGAAGGAACTCACAGGACTTTTAAAGGCTAAAACTGTATACTTTGTCTGACTGAATCAGTGTGTGCATAGCAGTGTGTGTATGGCAGGGTGTGCATAGCAGGGTGTGTGTATAGCAGGGTGTGCATGGCAGGGTGTGCATGGCAGGGTGTGTGTATAGCAGGGTGTGTATGGCAGGGTGTGCATGGCAGTGTGTGCATATAGCAGGGTGTGCATAGCAGTGTGTGTGTATAGCAGGGTGTGTATGGCAGGGTGTGCATGGCAGTGTGTGCATATAGCAGGGTGTGCATAGCAGCGTGTGTGTATAGCAGGGTGTGTGTATGGCAGTGTGTGCATAGCATGGTGTGTGTGTATAGCATGGTGTGTGTATAGCAGGGTGTGTGCATAGCAGGGTGTGTGCATAGCAGTGTGTGTGCATAGCAGCGTGTGTGTATAGCAGGGTGTGTGTATGGCAGTGTGTGCATAGCATGGTGTGTGTATAGCATGGTGTGTGTATAGCAGGGTGTGTGTATAGCAGGGTGTGTGCATAGCAGTGTGTGTGCATAGCAGTGTGTGTATAGCAGTGTGTGTATAGCAGGGTGTGTGCATGGCAGTGTGTGTGCATGGCAGTGTGTGTATGGCAGTGTGTGCATAGCATGGTGTGTGTATAGCAGTGTGTGTATAGCAGGGTGTGTGCATAGCAGTGTGTGTATAGCAGTGTGTGCATAGCATGGTGTGTGTATAGCAGTGTGTGCATAGCAGTGTGTGTATAGCAGTGTGTGCATAGCAGTGTGTGCATAGTAGTGTGTCATTGTCTAAATGTGTATAACAGTATGTGCTGACTGTTATCTGAGTGTGTGTCAGTGTCTGTATACTGTGAGTGTGTGTCTACTATGTCTGTATGTAGTTGTGTGTATATAGAATATAACAATGCGTGTACATACCATTTAAAACAAAGGTGGATATTCTGATTCCATTTCTCTCACCATTCTCCTATCAGACTGCTGAATGCATGCACACACTGCTAAATTCAAACACACACACACTGCTAAATACAAACACACAGACTGCTGAATACATACACACACAGACTGCTAAATACAAACACACAGACGGCTAAATACAAACACACACAGTCTGCTGAATACAAATACACAGACTGCTGAATACAGAGATTGCTAAATTCAAACACACACAGACTGCTGAATACAAACACACACAGACTGCTAAATACAAACACACAGACTGCTGAATACATACACACACTGCTAAATACAAACACACAGACTGCTAAATACAAACACACAGGCGGCTAAATACAAACACACAGACTGCTGAATACAAACACACACAGTCTGCTGAATACAAATACACAGACTGCTGAATACAGAGATTGCTAAATTCAAACACACACAGACTGCTAAATACAAACACACAGACTGCTGAATACAAACACACACAGACTGCTAAATACAAACACACAGACTGCTGAATACATACACACACTGCTAAATACAAACACACAGACTGCTGAATACATACACACACTGCTAAATACAAACACACAGACGGCTAAATACAAACACACACAGACTGCTGAATACAAACACACACAGACTGCTGAATACAAACACACAGACTGCTGCCTACAGAGATTGCTAAATACAAACACACAAAGACTGCTGAATACAAACACACACAGACTGCTGCATACAGTGATTGCTAAATACAAACACACACAGACTGCTGAATACAAACACACACAGACTGCTGAATATAAACACACACACACAGTGCTAACTACACACATACACAGCTAAATACATATACACAGACTGCTGCATACGGAGACTGCTGAATACAAACACACAGACTGCTGAATACACACTCAAACACTGCTAATTACACACACATACAGTATTTCTAAATACACAGACTGCTGAATACACACACACACACGTAGCTGCTCTCAGAACTCAGTCCTACTGCCATGCTTCCATCTGTGTGTATTTTAGCTCCTCCCACTCCTCCCATGCGGAGCCTATCAGTGGAGAGGATGGGACATGCTGTGACTTCCTGTCCTTGCCCTCTCCACATAGCCCAGGCACCAAGTCTTCTTACCTTGACCTGAGAGCTCTGCACACCCTGGTGGCAGGAGGAATCTGGATTTAGTGATCCAAACCTTTGAATCCATTATCGCCCAGAGAGTGGTAGACCTGCATCAATATGCAGATTCTCCGTCACAGTTCCTGGAACGTTCTCTGCTAGCCAGCCAGGCCTTAACCCATGGGCTATGAGTTTGTTTTGTCAGCCTTAGAACATGGAACCTCAGGATAGCATGAGCACATAACAGTGGTGGAGACAAGATGGAGGCACCTTGTTGTAGCATAGACATAATACAGAGGTGCAGACGTTTACATTTTATTTTTCAGGCTCACAATCACATGAAAATATAAAATATAAATAAATCAAATTAAAAAAACCTCTGGAAGTGTCGGTTCCTGTTTAAAAAACATGCCATACTCTGCTATCTGTGAGCAATTTATAACAACATTACCTCCGTATCCTCTTATAGATATTAGTTTGGAGATAAAAAAGGTGATAGACTTTTCACATGTAGCTGAGGTCATCCAACTGGGGAGCTTCCCTTTCGACCATTGTATTTGCCCTAAAAGCTCCTTTATGTCAGAATGTCTGTATTGACACTGGGAGAGCTTCTAATAGACGACATGTAGCCCAGTGATCTCAAGTACCATTTCTCGCTAATTGTAGGCAAATGTACGCAAATACTACTCCGTCGCTGTGTCTAGCCATGAGCTTGAATCAATGTGTGAGTATGTGTCTGCGAAAGTGCAAGTATTTTTTTGTGTTTGTGTGTTATTCACCATCATTGTGTATGTATGTTGTGATATGTGTGTCAAGGTTGTGTTTGTGTGTATTGATGTATGTGAGTCAGAACTGTTAATTGTATCCTGTGTTTCATGGCTATTACTGTGTCTGTGTGTGTATGTTTCAGGGCCCTGTGCCATTGAGTGTGTTTGTGGCAATGCTCTTACTGTGTGTGTGTGTGTATGCAGCTCTATGTCATTGTCTGTGTATCTACTTTTGTTTTTATGTGTTAAGCTGTTATAAAATATCTCTCTGTGGGTGAATGTGTCTGTCAAGGATGTTTCTCTGTCTTTTGTGTGTGGATGATTCTATCAAGTCTGTTTCTCTCTCTCTCTTTCCATGTGTGTGTATGTGTCTGTCAGGGATGTTACTCTCCATGGATGTGCGTGCAGGTCTGTTACAATGTATATGTGTGCAGGGGATGAGTGTAGGTGAGTGGGGGGCATGTGTGTGTGTGTGTGTGTTCAATATATATATATATAGAGAGAGAGAGCCCCTAACCCCTCTGTTCCTGTGCGTCCAACTAGTCTGGTTACATGTACGTGTTTGTTAGTCCACCCATTGTACAGCGCTGCGGAATTTGTTGTCTCTTTATAAAAAATAATATCTAATGCCCCCCTTTGCCTTGTGCTGTTACTGCAATGTGTCAGATAAGTGAAAGGGTTGCTCTGAGCTTAAGGCTCTGCTGAAAACAAGAAGTGACACTTTGTTCCTGTTTTACTGACATTGTAACTGGGTGACACATGTGACTGTTACACTTAACTCTTTCATTGCCAAAATCACATGTAATGGAGTCTGTACACAACATATAATGCTGTCCCCTTGGGTCAGTTATTAACACTTCTTTCTTATAGTGATTAATTGCAACAGAATTCACTTTAAGATTCAAATTAAGATTTAACGTTTGTAACACATGAAGGACCTCTCAGATTGAACTAGTCTACATTACTTCTGTTCATTACCTAAAAGCTTTGTGAAGCCCTGTTGCTCCCACTAACACTACATTCTGTAAAGTAGCACACGCGGTTGTGAAGAACTAAGGTGCTGCATACTAAGTTATAATATATTTCCTGCAATTTAACATAATTTAAGGTGCTATATAATTATAGTGCGAAACCTGATGAGATTACATCAGACTCACACCTTTAAGAGCCACCCCAGTTCTTACTTGCAGTGTTATAGTCAGCCTCACTTCTGTGTTTGTTCGCTTGACATATATGTCAATAAAAATTTAACAGGCTACGATCTGCAGTTTGTTGGACAGAGAAACCCGTGAGCGGTGGGTGGGGGCCCTAAATAACAATGAGGGAGGGTGGGACCTATTGTCCGACCTCCACTCCTGAGTGGCAGATGGGGGCCCTAAATAACAATGGGGGGGACCTATTGTCCTCCCCCCCCGGCCCCCACCCCTGAGTGGCGGGTGGGGGCCCTAAATAACAATAAGGGGGGACCTATTGTCCTCCCCCTAAATAACAATGAGGGGGGGACCTATTGTCCTCCCCCCTGGCCCCCACCAATGGGTGCCGGGTGGGGGCCCTAAATAACAATAAGGGGTGATACAAAAAAAAATAAAACTTAACATTTGATGTCTTCTTTTTTCTAAAATCTTCATTTTTTAGCCCCAAAAAAGGCCAAATAAAAATCTATAATATCCGTCGAACTTGTGAAAAAAGCCTTGCCCCGCCCTGCAATTAGGCTCAGAACACTCTGATTGGTTGACAGATTTGTGAACAATATTTGAGAGAAATAGGCCTTTTGTGTACATAGAAAAAGTCATGAATAATGGGGCAAAAACAAGTGTTGTGTTTATAATTTTGTTCAGTGTATATATAAGATATAGATATATGTATATATACACTGCTCAAAAAAATAAAGGGAACACTTAAACAACACAATGTAACTCCACGTCAATCACACTTCTGTGAAATCAAACTGTCCACTTAGGAAGCAACACTAAGTGACAATCAATTTCACATGCTGTTGTGCAAATGGGATAGACAACAGGTGGAAATTATAGGCAATTAGCAAGACACCCCCAATAAAGGAGTGGTTCTCCAGGTGGTGAACAGAGCCCACTTCTCAGTTCTTATGCTTCCTGGCTAAAGTTTTGGTCATTTTTGAATGCCGACGGCGCTTTCACTCTAGTAGTAGCATGAGACAGAGTCTACAACCCACACAAGTGGCTCAGGTAGTGCAGCTCATCCAGGATGGCACATCAATGCGAGCTGTGGCAAGAAGGTTTGCTGTGTCTGTCAGCGTAGTGTCCAGAGCATGGAGGCGCTACCAGGAGACAGGCCAGTACATCAGGAGACATGAAGGAGACCGTAGGAGGACAACAACCCAGCAGCAGGACCGCTACCTCCGCCTTTGTGCAAGGAGGAAAAGGAGGAGCACTGCCAGAGCCCTGCAAAATGACCTCCAGCAGGCCACAAATGTGCATGTGTCTGCTCAAACGGTCAGAAACAGACTCCATGAGGGTGGTATGAGGGCCCGACGTCCACAGGTGGGGGTTGTGCTTACAGCCCAACACCGTGCAAGACGTTTGGCATTTGCCAGAGAACACCAAGATTGGCAAATTTGCCACTGGCGCCCTGTGCTCTTAACAGATGAAAGCAGGTTCACACTGAGCACATGTGACAGTCGTGACAGAGTCTGGAGACGCCTTGGAGAACGTTCTGCTGCCTGCAACATCTTCCAGCATGACCTTTTTGGCAGTGGGTCAGTAATGGTGTGGGGTGGCATTTCATTGGGGGGCCGCACAGCCCTCCATGTGCTCGCCAGAGGTAGCCTGACTGCCATTAGATACCGAGATAAGATCCTCAGACCCCTTGTGAGACCATATGCTGGTGCGGTTGGCCCTGGGTTCCTCCTAATGCAAGACAATGCTAGACCTCATGTGACTGGAGTGTGTCAGCAGTTCCTGCAAGACGAAAAATTTGATTTCCATTTTTTTATTTTTGTGTGATTTTGTTGTCAGCACATTCAACTATGTAAAGAACAAAGTATTTCAGAAGAATATTTAATTCATTCAGATCTAGGATGTATTATTTTTGTGTTCCCTTTATTTTTTTGAGCAATGTATATACACACATACATATATTTTTTTTATTTACTAATATATATTTTTTTTCCAGATGCAGGGAGACTGCCTGTCAGTTCAGGCAGTCCCCCTGCAGGCAGCACTATGGACGCCTATTGCTGCCATGTGTAGCGGATGGCACCAGGCGACCCTACAAAAATACTGTATAAAGCTGCATCCGTGTATCTGCTGTATTTTCTGTGTATTAAAAAGAATTGTATTCCTCTGATTGTTCGGTAGTTTCATTCCCTTAGTGTATTCGAATGAAACTACCGAACAACCAGACCTCCCCTGTGTGAAGTGTGTCCTCAATTACCCGTTGCAACATTGTTGCGAACGGGTAATTGAACAGTAAGTAGCCGTCCTTTGCTTTCGGGGGTGGCCGCCATTCGACAAACGAACACGTGGCGGCGGCCATTTTAAAACTCCCGAACAGCGGTGTTTTGCCGTCGAGTGTCTGGAACTAAAATCGGACACTCGAGTAGGCGAACACCGCTGAGACCTCCACAGCCCTGGTCCGTTCGGTTCCAAACTACCGAACGGCCCCTCGTTCGGTAGATAGAGAATACCGAACGAGGGGATTCAGGCGAACCCTCCCTAGCCTCTATAGCTAAAGGTTTTCGTGTGTTTTATTCCCTTATGCCAGGACCGACCGCAGGGCCCATTCACATGGAACCGAATTCGGCTATCTCAGTTCGTGCGGTCGGTCATTTTATTCCCTCCATACTTTTCCCGAACCCCTGGTCTGATCTGGGTGGTTTTTGGATATGTTGTTCACCCAGATCAGGACTACCAGGGGATGTAGGATTTAAAGAGGTACCCCTACGTTTAGGGGTACATCCAGAAACGGGGGAATTGGTGTACTGGATAAGGGGATTATGATGCTAGCTGAGGGGAGGAGATGTGTGGGAGGTTACCAGGACAGGATTGGCTACTGTAATAATTACTGTAAGTCCCTCCCTTGCATGGGAGCATGCTTTATAAGGAGACTGTGATTAAAGGCTTGTCAGTTATGCTCCTGAAACTGCGTGTCGTCCAGTTATTGGGATTGCTGTTGGGATATTGCTGTATTTTACCTGCTGGAAACCCTGCCTTTGGATTTACTATTTACTTGTTCCTGAGTCTCACTTGGATTATAAGCGGAGATAACCTGGGGAATATTGCATCTCCGCTACACCATGTGACCGCTCTTTCAGAGCGATCGCATGGCCCGCGGGGGCCCAATTTGCCGAGTGGGGAACTGTCTGGGCTGCCAGGCAGTCCCCCCAGACCGGGAGCGCCGGCCGGGGAACAGCGGCGATCGGGTAAGTAATAGGGACATACCTAGTACATCCGCGTTCCTTAAGGTGTTAATGTGAAGCTGTCATTATAGGTTTATCTGGCTTGACTCATCTTATACAATATTAATATTATGAAATACTCCTATTTTAGTTTATTTCCATTACCCATCCCTACTGAGAGCATCAGTCGTGTTACACTTGCTGTAAGTCGCCCTCTCTGGCATATCTCGCTTTGGGCAGCACAAACTTCCACTAACAGAGTAAAAGTCCAACACGTTATGACGGCTTTGTGTGCTAAAGTGGCGGCAATAAACCATTTGGGCTTTTTCTCTCCGTGCTGCTCTCACACAAAACCTGCCCCTCCTTCTCCTTCCAGGCACTGCTTTCCGATCTAACGAAATCAAGCAGGATAGGTCCAGAGGAGGGTTTCCTTGGTAACATACATGCACTGAACTGACCGAGCTGAGGGGGGAAAGGGCTGGTTTTTAGCCTCTGATTTAGAGAAATCTAGACGTTTGCCAGCAATTCTGTAGCACAACGTATAAATTACATTTGATTCTTTTTAAAAGCGTGCATTAGATGCTGGGTGTCCACATGCAGAGTGTGAGGATGTCCAGCGTCAGATACTGGACCAAAGGTCCGTTTCAATCCAGGGAGCGCCCCCAGTGGCTCTTTGGTAGACCACCACTGTTGGCAAACTTAGTGCTGCAATGTAAACAGGTTCTCTGGAACTGCAAGGTTTAACATTGCAGCACTAAGTGCAAAAGGGACGCAGCACCCAGACCATTTCAATGAGCTGAAGTGGTCTGGGTGCCTACAGTGTCCCTTTAAGTTGTATTTGTCATGACTTCAGATTCACTTTGAATTCTTACTTTAGTAAATAACTCTGTATATGTGATTCTAAGCCAGCGCTGACCGTCAGCCCCCGTGAAGCATAGTGCTGGTAGCGTCCCTTAGCAGGAATGCATTGACAGGGACGAGGGAACTAGTGAAAACTGCGTGCTACATTATGTTTTAGACAGGAACACACCTGATACTGCCAGCAGAATAATGACCCAAAACCCAGAGCCTGAGCTAGAATAGGGAGGTTTAAACTGGAATATCCCAGTCACAGGCCCTGAATCCACAACGCCTGTTCATACAGCCAGACACAGCTCGAGCAATGAAACCAACAATATGGTGTGCCATTAATTCGATTAGTAAGTATGTGACTAACAAAGGACCATTGTTTGTTTTAGTTTGTATCGAACTCCAATAGTTTGTATCTTGTGTCTGTAACACTTATAAGGGGGGTGAATACTTACAGGTATGTGCCTTACTGTTTGCAAGGTGATGTAAATATAATAAGAACTGTACTACCAGCCATTGTGAGAGAAACATGCTTAAAGGACCTCTATAGTGTCAGGAGCTTCTGCCTGCTAGTAAGAAGGTAAGGAGACAAGTGGACACGTGAGTGCTAGGTGACAGTCCTTAGAAAGCGTAGAGTAGGCGCATCATTTGATGCATTTATGTCAAGCTCAGGGTGCTGGCTGCAAAGGATGCCCTTAGTTTGCCAGCCTGCATGATTGGCAGGCAGCCTGACATGCATTCATGCCAGGCTGGCCTTCCAGTTCTTTGGGCCCCTTTTTGGGCATGTTCACCCCTTTTGGCAGGTCTGGTCACGTGATTCGCGTGGCCCACCCTTTTACCCTGACCATTGACTTCCTGCTTCACTGGACACTGCTGTTAGGGGGTATGCAGGGCAGGCCTTAGGCCTTTTGGCGCCCTGTGCGAAAACTTCTCACAGCTCCCCTCCCTGGTCACACCCTTTTCCTGGCCCTGTTAAAGGGTAAGGGAATTGCAATATCTAGGCCAATATATCTGATCTGAAAATAATTAAGCTGGAGAGGTTTCCAGTTTAGCTGATTTGCCATAGGTTTCTCCTTACTATGCCAATTAAGTAGAGTCAGTGTTTTTTTGGTGCCCCTCATCCACTTGTGCATTTTTTCCTGACCCTCCTTGTGTGTCTCTCCTAATCCCCACTTTTCACCCCCACCCTCCTTGTGTGTCTCTTATTTCCTTTTACCGTCTTGTCTCTTAGCGCACTGTTACTTCTTGTGCGTCTCTTAATCCCACTTAAATCTTGTATGTCTTAACCCTATTCCCCCATAGAACTACACATTCACATGAATAAATGCCTATACATGCAATCAAAGACATGTATGGACACATGCAAACAAGAACAGTTACATATATAGACACAGAACACACACAGTCATACTGTACACATCAATATAAAATAAACAGGACTGCACTCCAATCACAGAAACACCTGGAAACCTGGAAGGAACATTTCTTTTGAATGATACATAAAGCAAAAAGAATGCCGTGCTCCAAACTATGGAGGCCGCCACATCTCCAGACATACGTAGTACACAAGGTCCAGGCACTCAATGTTCTAAATCTTGATATCCTTTCTAATGGAATGTTGTGTTATACTGCATGGATTGATAAGGTAACAGATTGTGACTGAAACATTGCGTTATGTTCCTTTGAAAAGGCTGTCAAGATTTAAAACGCTCGTTGCCTGGGGTTTCTTGTTTCGTGATCTACACCCTGAACACAGACACACGTACAGTAATCACACACTTATGTATACAGTGCATACCCAGACAGTCAAATACACACATCTTCACACATACACACGTGATATGCATACCATATCAGTCACACATTTACACTGTATAAGTTATGTCACCCATAGTCACATACAGTCATGTACACCGGGCAACTCTATACTGTTTTCTCTAAAAACTAATTTGTATAAACTGTGTATTTTTTAATTCAAAGTTTCTATGTAAAATATTTACCTTATTTAAGGTAAGCTGTATATGTATTGTGATTTATGCACCCCCTTTATAAAGTACATTAGAGTGCGTAACCATTAATACACACACACACACACACATATACACACACACACAAACACACAAATCCACAGATCACATCTCACATATACATAGATACACACAGACACATGCCATCACATACATTGGCACACATACATACATACATACATACAAGGGTATTTACTAAAATGAGGATTGTCAGGAATTTTAAGCAAATTTCATATTTGGCGCCAAAATAGCTGAATTCGAAGCATAGCTGACGTTGAAATTAACTTTCCTGACAATTGTCATTTTAATGAAGAAGCTGGTCAGATATGTACTAAGACACCATCACAACCATCACACAGGCACACAGACACATCACATAACGCAGTCACAGATATACACACATTAACACAGTTAGATACATTCATGGACACAAAAAACTGTCACATATATTAAAAGACACACAAAGTCACATACACAGTCACATAAATACATAGGCTCACAATTGTGGGTTCAGAGTCCCACACATACACAGACTGATTATATATAGCATGTTCATGGGTGAGTTAATAGAAATGGGGGTACAGATGAGGGTATATGGCAGACGGGATAGGACTAATGCTGATGTAACACCACCTATACTCAGCATCTTCTTTCCCTGTCACAGACTGGGGGAGTTTCTGTGGCTGGGATATCAAGGCTGTGTTTTAATGCAGCCACTCAGTCTCCTATCTTGTCCCAAGATGCCTCTGCTTCCATGCAATGCCCCTTCTCTCTGGTGCCCGATCACAAGTCTCCTCTGTCCCTGGTCTCCAGTGCCAGCCTCTGGTGGGCTGGAGGCGAATAGCAGGGAGTGCTGATCATAACTTCTCCCTCGAGGTTCTGTCGCTGTGTGGAGTCAGAGCGCAGGCTGGGAATCTCTGAGGCTGCGCTCTGACTCACTAAGTGAGCGCCAGAACCGCGAGGGAGAAGTTATGATGATCTGGCTGCAGCTCCTGCTAGGTGCACCACTGGACCATCAGGGAGTCATTTTTCATGTAATAGGATGGACCCAGCTTGCGAGCTGTGTTGGCTGCCAGGGCGCCTCTTGTGTTATGGCGCCCTGTGCGACTGCACAGCTCGCACACCCCAGAGGCCGGCCCTGGGGGTATGCAATTACTTGAAAGATGAAAGCATAAATTAGAGAGAGATTAGTATAGAGTGTGTGAGTTCCCCTCCAACACCATCTCCATCAGATACATGATGCTTGGGAGGTATGACTGTTTTAGTGTTTTTTGGTCGATAAGATTCTGTAATTTGGCCCCATCATAATTGTCAGCACCAGGCCCACTGGGCTCTTAATGTGGCCCTGTGCCGGTACATTACCTCCACTACATCAGCATCATATAAATCCATAGATAGAAGCAGGGCTCGCTCTGTTTATACACTATATAAATCCATAGATAGATAGAAGCAGGACTCGCTCTGTTTATACACTATATAAATCCATAGATAGATAAAAGCAGGGCTCGCTCTGGTTATACACTATATAAATCCATAGATAGATAGAAGCAGGGCTCGCTCTGTTTATACACTATATAAATCCATAGATTGATAGAAGCAGGGCTCACTCTGTTTATACACTATATAAATCCATAGATAGATAGAAGCAGGGCTCGCTCTGTTTATACACTATATAAATCCATAGATAGATAGAAGCAGGGCTCGCTCTGTTTATACACTATATAAATCCATAGATAGATAGAAGCAGGGCTCGCTCTGTTTATACACTATATAAATCCACAGATAGAAGCAGGACTCGCTCTGTTTATACACTATATAAATCCATAGATAGAAGCAGGGCTCGCTCGGTTTATACACTATATAAATCCATAGATAGACAGAAGCAGGGCTCGCTCTGTTTATACACTATATAAATCCATAGATAGATAGAAGCAGGGGCCTCGCCTAATATACACTATATAAACCATAGATAGATAGATAGAAGCAGGACCTCAGCCTGTTTATACACTATATAAATCCATAGATAGATAGAAGCAGGGCTCAGCTTCTGTTTATACACCATATAAACTGATAGATAGAAGCAGGGCTCATTTGGTTATACACTATATAAACCATAGATAAGATAGAAGCCAGTGGCCTCCGCCCAAGCCATGTACACACTGCTACAAAACCACAGACAAGACAGAAGCAGGCACCGCTTCTGTTTATACACTATATAAATCCATAGATAGATAGAAGCGGGGCTCGCTCTGTTTATACACTATATAAATCCATAGATAGATAGAAGCAGGGCTCGCTCTGTTTATACACTATATGAATCCATAGATAGATAGAAGCAGGGCTCGCTCTGTTTATACACTATATAAATCCATAGACAGATAGAAGCAGGGCTCGCTCTGTTTATACACTATATAAATCTATAGATAGATAGAAGCAGGGCTCGCTCTGTTTATACACTATATAAATCCATAGATAGATAGAAGCAGGGCTCGCTCTGTTTATACACTATATAAACCACAGATGAAGCAGGCCGCCTGGCAGTACACCACAAACTACAGATAGATGAAGCAGGGCTCGCCTGTTTATACACACCATATAAATCCATAGATAGATAGAAGCAGTGTCGCCTGTTTTATACACCATATAAACCATAGATAGATAGATAGAAGCAGTGGCCTCGCCTGTTTATACACCATATAAACCACATGGATGCCAGCAGGGCTCCCTGCCGAGACTATATAAAATCCACATAGATAGATAGAAGCAGGGCTCAGCCTGTTTACACACCATATAACCACAGATAGACAGAAGCAGGGGCTCTCCAGTTTATATACCTATATAAATCCATAGATAGATAGAAGCAGGCCCGCCTCAATAATTATTTAAACTATAGAAAGAAGCAGGGCCACTTCTGTTTCATATACACTATATAAACTACAATGACAGAAGCAGGTCACTTCCGTTTATACACTATATAAATCCATAGATAGAAGCAGGGCTCGCTCTGTTTATACACTATATAAATCCATAGATGGATAGAAGCAGGGCTCGCTCTGTTTATACACCATATAAATCCATAGATAGATAGAAGCAGGGCTCGCTCTGTTTATACACCATATAAATCCATAGATAGATAGAAGCAGGGCTCGCTCTGTTTATACACCATATAAATCCATAGATAGATGGAAGCAGGGCTCGCTCTGTTTATACACCATATAAATCCATAGATAGATGGAAGCAGGGCTCGCTCTGTTTATACACTATATAAATCCATAGATAGATAGAAGCTGGGCTCGCTCTGTTTATACACTATATAAATCCATAGATAGATAGAAGCAGGGCTCGCTCTGTTTATACACTATATAAATCCATAGATAGATAGAAGCAGGGCTCGCTCTGTTTATACACTATATAAATCCATAGATAGATAGAGGCAGGGCTCGCTCTGTTTATACACTATATAAATCCATAGATAGATAGAAGCAGGGCTCGCTTTGTTTATACACTATATAAATCCATAGATAGATAGAAGCAGGGCTCACTTTGTTTATACACTATATAAATCCATAGATAGAAGCAGGGCTCGCTCTGTTTATACACTATATAAATCCATAGATAGGCGCAGCTCTGTTTATACACCTGTATAAATTCATAGATAAGATATATAAGCTCGCTTGTTTATACACTATATAAATTCATTATAGAAGCAGCGCTCGCTCTGTTTATACACTATATAAATCCATAGATAGAAGCAGGGCTCACTCTGTTTATACACTATATAAATCCATAGATAGAAGCAGGGCTCACTCTGTTTATACACTATATAAATCCATAGATAGATAGAAGTAGGGCTCGCTCTGTTTATACACTATATAAATCCATAGATAGATAGAAGCAGGGCTCGCTCTGTTTATACACTATATAAATCCATAGATAGATAGAAGCAGGGCTCGCCCTGTTTATACACTATATAAATCCATAGATAGATAGAAGCAGGGCTCGCTCTGTTTATACACTATATAAATCCATAGTTAGATAGAAGCAGGGCTCGCCCTGTTTATACACTATATAAATCCATAGATGATAGAAGCAGGTCGTTTGTTTATACACTCATATAGTCCATAGATATAGAAGCAGGCTCGCTTCTTGTTTATACACTATATACATAGATAGACAAAGCAGGGTCAGTCACAATCTCATACAAACCATAGATAGACAGAAGCTATGACCACCTAGTTTCATACCATATAAATCCATAGATAGATAGAAGCTATGACCGCTTCTTGTTTATACAAGAATTCATATAAATCCATTGATAGATAGAAGCAGGACTCGCTCTGTTTATACACTATATAAATCCATAGATAGATAGAAGCAGGAATCGCTCTGTTTATACACTATATAAATCCATAGATAGATAGAAGTACGGCTCGCTCTGTTTATACACTATATAAATCCATAGACAGAAGCAGGACTCGCTCTATTTATACACTATATAAATCCATAGATAGATAGAAGCAGGGCTCGCTTTGTTTATACACTATATAAATCCATAGATAGATAGAAGCAGGGCTCGTTCTGTTTATACACTATATAAATCCATAGATAGAAGCAGGGCTCGCTCGGGTTATACACTATATAAATCCATAGATAGATAGAAGCAGGGCTCGCTCTGTTTATACACTATATAAATCCATAGATAGATAGAAGCAGGGCTCGCTCTATTTATACACTATATAAATCCATAGATAGATAGAAGCAGGGCTCGCTTTGTTTATACACTATATAAATGCACAGATAAATAGAAGCAGGGCTCGCTCTGTTTATACACTATATAAATCCATAGATAGATAGAAGCAGGGCTCGCTCTGTTTATACACTATATAAATCCATAGATAGATAGAAGCAGGGCTCGCTCTGTTTATACTCTATATAAATCCATAGAGGTGGGGGTGACCTCTAAAGGCATGGGGAATCTTGTGAAAATGAATGGCAAGATGAATGCAGCATTTTATCAGAAAATACTGGCAGACCATTTGCATTCTTCTGCAAGATGGCTGCACATGGGACGCCCTTGTACTTTCCAGCATGACAATGACCCTAAACACAAGGCCAAGTTGACCATCCAGTGATTACAGCAGAAAAAGGTGAAGGTTCTAGAGTGGCCATCACAGTCTCCTGACGTTACTATCATTGAGCCACTCAGGGAGATTGCAAACGTGTGGTTCATGCAAGACGACCAAAGACTTTGCATGACTTGGAGGCATTTCGCCAAGACTAATTGGCAGATATACCGCCTGCAAGAAGTAGGGGCCTCATAGATAACTATTACAAAAGACTGCACGTTGTCATTGATGCTCAAGGGGCAATACATAGTATTGAGAACTAAGGGTTTGCAGACTTTTGAACAAGGATCCTTTAATTTTTTTCTTTGTTGACTTGTTTTGTTTTATGATTGTGCCATTCTATTATAACCTGCAGTAAATATGAATCCCATAAGAAATAAAATAAATTTGTTTTGCCTGCTCACTCCAGTTTTCTTTAAAAATGGGACCTATATTACCAATTCTCCAACGCAAACCTTTGAGCACAACTGTACATTGATCTGTTTCACAGGTTGCTGTAGTGAAACATTTCTGTTATAAGATATGGTCATCTGTGCCATAACCCGCTGTTATAAGATATGGTCATCTGTGACATAACCCGCTGTTATAGGATATGGTCATCTGTGCCATAACCCGATGTTATAAGATATGGTCATCTGTGACATAACCCGCTGTTATAAGATGTAGTCATCTGTGCCATAACCCGCTGTTATAGGATATGGTCATCTGTGCCATAACCCGCAGTTATAAGATATGGTCATCTGTGACATAACCCGCTGTTATAGGATACGGTCATCTGTGACATAACCCGCTGTTATAAGATATGGTCATCTGTGACATAACCCGCTGTTATAAGATGTGGTCATCTGTGCCATAACCCACTGTTATAGGATATGGTCATCTGTGCCATAACCCGATGTTATAAGATATGGTCATCTGTGACATGACCCGCTGTTATAGGATATGGTCATCTATGACATAACCCACTGTTATAGGATATGGTCATCTGTGCCATAACCCGATGTTATAAGATATGGTCATCTGTGACATAACCCGCTGTTATAAGATATGGTCATCTGTGCCATAACCCGCTGTTATAAGATATGGTCATCTGTGACATAACCCGCTGTTATAAGATGTAGTCATCTGTGCCATAACCCGCTGTTATAGGATATGGTCATCTGTGCCATAACCCGCAGTTATAAGATATGGTCATCTGTGACATAACCCGCTGTTATAGGATACGGTCATCTGTGACATAACCCGCTGTTATAAGATATGGTCATCTGTGACATAACCCGCTGTTATAAGATGTGGTCATCTGTGCCATAACCCACTGTTATAGGATATGGTCATCTGTGCCATAACCCGATGTTATAAGATATGGTCATCTGTGACATGACCCGCTGTTATAGGATATGGTCATCTATGACATAACCCACTGTTATAGGATATGGTCATCTGTGCCATAACCCGATGTTATAAGATATGGTCATCTGTGACATAACCCGCTGTTATAAGATATGGTCATCTGTGCCATAACCGCTGTTATAAGATATGGTCATCTGTGACATAACCCGCTGTTATAGGATATGGTCATCTGTGACATAACCCGCTGTTATAAGATATGGTCATCTGTGACATAACCCGCTGTTATAAGATGTGGTCATCTGTGCCATAACCAACTGTTATAGGATATGGTCATCTGTGCCATAACCCGCATGTTATAAGATATGGTCATCTGTGACATAACCCGCTGTTATAGATATGGTCATCTGTGACATAACCCGCTGTTATAGGATACGGTCATCTGTGCCATAACCCGCTGTTATAAGATATGGTCATCTGTGCCATAACCCGATGTTATAAGATATGGTCATCTGTGCCATAACCCGATGTTATAAGATATGGTCATCTGTGCCATAACCCGATGTTATAAGATATGGTCATCTGTGCCATAACCCGCTGTTATAAGATATGGTCATCTGTGACATAACACACTGTTATAAGATATGGTCATCTGTGACATAACACACTGTTATAAGATATGGTCATCTGTGCCATAACCCGCAGTTATAAGATATGGTCATCTGTGACATAACACACTGTTATAAGATATGGTCATCTGTGCCATAACCCGCTGTTATAAGATATGGTCATCTGTGACATAACACACTGTTATAAGATATGGTCATCTGTGCCATAACCCGCTGTTATAAGATATGGTCATCTGTGACATAACCTGCTGTTATAGGATATGCTCATCTGTGACATAACCCGCTGTTATAAGATATGGTCATCTGTGCCATAACCCGCTGTTATAAGATATGGTCATCTGTGCCATAACCCGCTGTTATAAGATATGGTCATCTGTGCCATAACCCACTGTTATAAGATATGGTCATCTATGACATAACCCGCTGTTATAAGATATGGTTATCTGTGACATAACACACTGTTATAAGATATGGTCATCTGTGACATAACCTGCTGTTATAAGATATGGTCATCTGTGACATAACACACTGTTATAAGATATGGTCATCTGTGCCATAACCCGCAGTTATAAGATATGGTCATCTGTGCCATAACCCGCTGTTATAAGATATGGTCATCTGTGACATAACCTGCTGTTATAGGATACGGTCATCTGTGCCATAACCCGCTGTTATAAGATATGGTCATCTGTGCCATAACCCACTGTTATATGTTATGGTCATCTGTGCCATAACCCGCTGTTATAGGATATGGTCATCTGTGACATAACCCGCTGTTATAAGATATGGTTATCTGTGACATAACCTGCTGTTATAAGATATGGTCATCTGTGACATAACACACTGTTATAAGATATGGTCATCTGTGACATAACACACTGTTATAAGATATGGTCATCTGTGACATAACACACTGTTATAAGATATGTGCTTTTTTTTTTTCATTTCAACATTAAGAAAACCACTTTAAGACAGCGGCTTCCGTTATTAAACAAACTGTGAGGCGAGAGACAGAACGTGACCGTCACCTTAAAGGCAGTTATTGAAACCCGCTGCATTCCTTCCTGTACTTTGTAGGTTGCCTTGAGATGTTAGTAGTAAAACGTTCTGGCAGGAAACCCTGAAATAAATGTGATTGTGTAGTGCACAGCGAGAGCTCCATTATACACACAGAAGGACTGTGGCAAAGCTCCCCTTTCAGTCTCACAACTTGTTACTCTTATTGTCGTCAGCAAAGAGATAGCAGAATGGTGCATTATCCACTGGGAGAGAGAATTAAGGCCTCAGCTGAGCGATCTTTTATATTAATGCGGCCCCAGGAAAGATTACCCACCTGTAATATGTTTGTAGTGGGAGACAGGGGCTGTAGTGGGAAATAGGGTGTTTGTAGTGGGGAGACGGGGGCTGTAGTGGGAAATAGGATGTTTATAGTGGGGTGAAAGGGCTGAAGTGAGAAATAGGTTGTTTGTAGCGGGGAGACGGGGGCTGTAGCGGGAAATAGGGTGTTTGTAGCGGGGAGACAGGGGCTGTAGTGGGAAATAGGATATTTGTAGTGGGGAGACAGGGGCTGTAGTGGGAACAAGGATATTTGTAGTGGGGAGACAGGGGCTGTAGTGGGAACAAGGATGTTTGTAGTGGGGAGACGGGGGTGGTAGTGGGAAATAGGTTGTTTGTAGCGGGGAGACAGGGGCTGTAGTGGGAAATAGGATATTTGTAGTGGGGAGACGGGGGTGGTAGTGGGAAATAGGTTGTTTGTAGCGGGGAGATAGGGGCTGTAGTGGGAAATAGGATATTTGTAGTGGGGATATGGGGGCGGTAGTGGGAAATAGGATGTTTGTAGTGGGGAGACTGGGGCTGTAGTGGGATATAGGATGTTTGTAGTGGGGAGAAGGGGCTGTAGTGGGAAACTTGATGTTTGTAGTGGGGAGACAGATGCTGTAGCGGGGAGACAGGGGCTGTAGTAGGAAATAGGATGTGTGTAGTGAGGAGAAGGGGCTGTAGCGGGAAATAGGGTGTTTGTAGTGGGGTGAAGGGGCTGTAGTGGGAAATAGGATGTTTGTAGTGAGGAGAAGGGGCTGTAGTGGGAAATAGGATGTTTGTAGTGGGAGAAGGGGCTGTAATGGGAAATAGGATGTTTGTAGTGGGGAGAAGGGGCTGTAGCGGGAAATAGGGTGTTTGTAGTGGGGTGAAGGGGCTGTAGTGGGAAATAGGATGTTTGTAGTGGGGAGAAGGGGCTGTAGTGGGAAATAGAATGTTTGTAGTGGGAGAAGGGGCTGTAGTGGGAAATAGGATGTTTGTAGTGGGGAGACCAGGGCTGTAGTGGGAAATATGATGTTTGTAGTGGGGAGAGGGGCTGTAGTGGAAATAGGATGTTTGTAGTGGGGAGAAGGGGCTGTAGTGGGAAATATAATGTTTGTAGTGGGAGAAGGGGCTGTAGTGGGAAATAGGATGTTTGTAGTGGGGAGACCGGGGCTGTAGTGGGAAATAGGATGTTTGTAGTGGGGAGAGGGGGCTATAGTGGTAAATAGGATGTTTGTAGTGGGGAGAGGGGGCTGTAGTGGGAAATAGGATGTTTGTAGTGGGGAGACCGGGGCTGTAGTGGGAAATAGGATGTTTGTAGTGGGAAGAAGGGGCTGTAGTGGGAAATAGGATGTTTGTAGTGGGGTGAAGGGGCTGAAGTGAGAAATAGGATGTTTGCAGTGGGAAGACCGGGGCTGTAGTGGGATATAGGATGTTTGTAGTGGGGAGAAGGGGCAGTAGTGGGAAACAGGATGTTTGTAGTGGGGAGACAGATGCTGTAGTGGGGAGACAGGGGCTGTAGTAGGAAATAGGATGTTTGTAGTGAGGAGAAGGGGCTGTAGCAGGAAATAGGGTGTTTGTAGTGGGGTGAAGGGGCTGTAGTGGGAAATAGGATGTTTGTAGTGGGGAGAAGGGGCTGTAGTGGGAAATAGGATGTTTGTAGCGGCGAGACAGGGGCTGTAGTGGTAAATAGGATGTGTGTAGTGGGGAGAAGGGGCTGTAGTGGGAAATAGAATGTTTGTAGTGGGAAGACGGGGGATGTAGTGGGAAATAGGATGTTTGTAGTGGGAAGACGGGCGCTGTGGTTGGAAATAGGATGTTTGTAGTGGAGAATGTAATGTCTGTACCATGGATCCTGTTAGGGCCTGAAGAAGGCTGTAGTGTTTAAACAGGGGCTGTAGTGGGGAATCTGATGTTTGTAGTGGGGGAGGGAGTGTTGTGTGGGTGGATAGGGTCTTTTTTTAAGTTAGGTTAAAAAAATTAAATGACGTTATTCTTCCCTCCCTGTGCCTTACCATGAGCCTCAGAGGAATGAATAATTAGTCTTGGTAGTCCTGTGGCAGATACAGTTTGTTTGGTTCAGTGTATATGCTCCAGGAAGCTCCGGTGTTTGGAGCGTTGCTGTGGTAACAAAGCACAGAGGGGCCCGAAATCACTGGAATCTCCTACAATCTTGACTTGTCAGAGACGTTTGGGAAGTTGAGGGAGCTAAGAGTAGTTGACTGACTACAAGCACTTGTCCTGTCTTGAGGTAATTCTGCCGCAGGGTGCAAGGGCCCAGTGCACTTGCTCCTTTTGCCTTGCGGTAAAGACGGCCCTGGATGTCAGTGACTGAGAAACTGACTTCTGCTACTGTCTGTGTTATATTTATTGCTGCCAGCCCTGACTCCTGCTATTCTCTCTGGTAAAGTTTAGAGCCTCCAGCCCTGACTCCTGCTATTCTCTGTGATATTATTTATTGCCGCCAGCCCTGACTCCTGCCATCCACAGTAATATAGTGTATTGCCCTGACTCTCGCTATTGCTGCCAGCCCAGACCTCGGCTATTCTCTGTGATATTATTTACTGCCGCCAGTCCTGACCTTGGCTATTCTCTGTGATATAGTTTATTGCTGCCAGTCCTGACCTCAGCTATTCTCTGTGATATAGTTTATTGCCGCCAGCCCTGACCTTGGCTATTCTCTCTGATATAGTTTATTGCTGCCAGCCCTGACCTTGACTATTCTCTCTGATATAGTTTGTTGCTGATAGTCCTGACCTTGGCTATTCTCTGTGATATAGTTTATTGCTGCCAGCCCTGACCTTGGCTATTCTCTGTGATATAGTTTAATGCTGCCAGCCCTGACCTCAGCTATTCTCTGTGATATAGTTTGTTGCTGATAGTCCTGACCTTGGCTATTCTCTGTGATTTAGTTTATTGCTGCCAGCCCAGGCCACAGCTATAATCTCTGATATAGTTTATTGCTGCCAGCCCTGACCTTGGCTATTCTCTGTGATATAGTTTATTGCTGCCACCCCTGACCTTGGCTATTCTCTGTGATATAGTTTATTGCTGCCAGTCCTGACCTCAGCTATTCTCTGTGATATAGTTTAATGCTGCCAGCCCTGACCTCAGCTATTCTCTGTGATATAGTTTAATGCTGCCAGCCCTGACCTCAGCTATTCTCTGTGATATAGTTTATTGCTGCCAGCCCTGACCTTGGCTATTCTCTGTGATATAGTTTATTGCTGCCAGCCCTGACCTCAGCTATTCTCTGTGATATAGTTTAATGCTGCCAGCCCTGACCTCAGCTATTCTTTGTGATATAGTTTATTGCTGCCACCCCTGACCTTGGCTATTCTCTCTGATATAGTTTATTGCTGCCAGTCCTGACCTCAGCTATTCTCTGTGATATAGTTTATTGCTGCCAGCCCTGACCTTGGCTATTCTCTGTGATATAGTTTATTGCTGCCAGCCCTGACCTTGGCTATTCTCTCTGATATAGTTTGTTGCTGATAGTCCTGACCTTGGCTATTCTCTGTGATATAGTTTATTGCTGCCAGCCCTGACCTTGGCTATTCTCTCTGATATAGTTTATTGCTGCCAGCCCTGACCTTGACTATTCTCTCTGATATAGTTTGTTGCTGATAGTCCTGACCTTGGCTATTCTCTGTGATATTGTTTACTGCCGCCAGTCCTGACCTTGGCTATTCTCTGTGATATAGTTTATTGCCGCCAGCCCTGACCTTGGCTATTCTCTCTGATATAGTTTATTGCTGCCAGCCCTGACCTTGACTATTCTCTCTGATATAGTTTGTTGCTGATAGTCCTGACCTTGGCTATTCTCTGTGATATAGTTTATTGCTGCCAGCCCTGACCTTGGCTATTCTCTGTGATATAGTTTAATGCTGCCAGCCCTGACCTCAGCTATTCTCTGTGATATAGTTTGTTGCTGATAGTCCTGACCTTGGCTATTCTCTGTGATATAGTATGTTGCTGATAGTCCTGACCTTGGCTATTCTCTCTGATATAGTTTGTTGCTGATAGTCCTGACCTTGGCTATTCTCTGTGATATAGTTTATTGCTGCCAGCCCTGACCTTGGCTATTCTCTGTGATATAGTTTATTGCTGCCAGCCCTGACCTTGGCTATTCTCTGTGATATAGTTTATTGCTGCCAGCCCTGACCTTGGCTATTCTCTGTGATATAGTTTATTGCTGCCAGCCCTGACCTTGGCTATTCTCTGTGATATAGCTTACAACTGCCAGCCCTGACCTGTTCTATTCTCTGTGATATAGTTTATTGCTGCCAGCCCTGACCTTGGCTATTCTCTGTGATATAGTTTGTTGCTGATAGTCCTGACCTCAGGAACACAGTAAACATGAAACACAGATTATTAACATGTAACACAGTTTATTAATATGTAACACAGATTATTAACATTAAAATAGTGAGTATATAGAGGTTAAAATACAGTATAAAAGAGGGTGCTACTATCACCTATGTGGGCCACTCCACCACACATAAATAAGTGCAAATGTAGTAATAATATAAATGGTGAGAGCACACACAGAAACAATTTTTAGGGATATTACCCTTCATCAAATAAATTCCTGTAAAGACAAAACAGGAAAAACAATCATAGGGTAAAAACGTATAAAAAGTTTTAAAATAGTGATAAATGGATAAACTCACATATTCCTGAGCCACTTAATACACGCTGGCTCAGACTAAGAACGTAGAATGGATAAGGATTGGTGTAAGCTGGATGTAAATTCTGACTGTTTTCTTGCCCTTTCTTCAAAGTGCTCAGGATGCAGGTTCTTTGGTAAAAAGGTTTTATTTAACAAGATAAAATCAGCAGCAACAAAAATATTCCAGCTACAGCAAGCTCCATACACTGACGCGTTTCAGCTCAAAGCTTTTTTCAAAGTTTGAAGAAAAAAAAAGCTTTGATCTGAAACGCGTCAGTGTATGGAGATTGCTGTAGCTGGAATTTTTTTGAGGAAGGGTAATATACCTAAAAATTGTTTCTGTGTGTGCTCTCACCATTTATATTATTACAGATAACTAACATGTAACACAGTTTATTATGCAAGGCCTGATTGGGTGCCTGAACTCACTAGTCATTTTGCATCTTGACTTTTTATCTGACCCTTTACTGATGTGTTTTCTAAGTTCTGCAGAGTTCGTGTGAATTGATCAGTTTCCGATATACTTAGAAAATCCAACACAATTATAACGTCTGTCAGCTATGATATAATACTTTCATTTAAGAAAAGAACGAACCATGCGTGTCATTAGTTCATCCTGAATGGGACATCCTGCCATGTCTTGGTTTTCATGAATAGATATGTTCATGTACGAAGTTTACCCAAATTCCCCTGCTCACACTAACTGGAAAGAGTGGAACCCACACATTTCTCAGTAGCTAAATACAGTTCTGTAAACAGATAACGGGACATGTGTGTGTGAATCTAGATATGTTCGTCAGTGTGTATGTATCTATACTGTATAATGTCTGTACCATGGATCCTTCATGAAGATAATTCAATGTCCGTAACTGGCTTCAGTCACAGATGAATCTGCACTAACTTTATGACATAACCACAGTTTATAGACACAGCTTCCTCCTCTACAAATTCATACTTTGTTCTTAAAGGACCACCATAGTGCCAGGAAAACATACTCGTTTTCCTGGCACTATAGTGCCCTGAGGGTGCCCCCACCCTCAGGGTCCCCCTCCCGCCGGGCTCCAGCACCGGGCAGGGGACTCTCCTCCTCCATAGCAATGTCATCAGCTGAATGCGCATGCCCGGCAGGAGCCGTGCGCGCATTCAGCCAGTCCATAGGAAAGCATTCTCAATGCTTTCCTATGGACGCTGGCGTCTTCTCACTGTGAAAATCACAGTGAGAAGCGCGGAAGCACTCTATTGGCTGTCAATGAGACAGCCGCTAGAGGCTGGATTAACCCTATTATAAACATAGCAGTTTCTCTGAAACTGCTATGTTTATAGAAGAAAGGGTCAAACCTAGCTGGCACCCAGAACACTTCATTAAGCTGAAGTGGTCTGGGTGCCTATAGTGGTCCTTTAACCTTTTTCATTTATACTTCGCCAAACAAACTTTGTTTTGCAGCTTTTTACATCCTCTCTTACAGCTACAAATGTATCTTCTCTCTGCCTATTACAGAGACCAAGGCCTTGCTAAATAGATTGACTTCATCAGGGTGTAACTCACGTCTTCTTAAACACGTGTGGTCAGATTTCAATCACAGAAAATCATGTCCTGACATTCTGCGTTATTCTTGGGCAGTGATATAAAGATACAGTTTTCCAACTCTCTCATAACACACCAGGGTTAGCCACTTAGGGAAGATGTCTCCTGTGGTCCTTACTTGTGGCCATCAGCAGATGCCAGAAGTGGTAATTAGTCCCTGTCTGTTCTTCAACAGAAAGTGTTAGAGTGGATGAGATAGCCATCAATTATTCTCACTGAGACACATCGTAAGGTTTCATTTAACCATTAGACTTGCATTTTTCTCTTTTCTCGATTTATTTGCTCATTCTTCTATTCTTCCGTGGTTGGTGTTTACACTCAAGCTACTCCACACCTCTGTGTTCTATAACCAGTTCTTAAACCTCTCTGCATTTGTGTAATGAGAACTCCTTGTGACTTTTCATGTTCAAATGTTTAGAGCACTTTGTTAATTAAAAGTTGTTTTGTTACACACAAATATCAGGAATAACCCACTGAGCTTATCTTTACTGCACACTCATTCTATACTTAGTCCTTAAAGGATTAAAGAGACACTATAGGCACCTACACCACTCCATCTCATTGGTCTGGTCTAAATGCCCCTGTCCCGTTAATCATACAAAGTAAAACATTGCAGTTTCAGAGACTTTGCAATGTTGAAATTACAGGGGTAAGAAAAATTCTACAGGTTGTCTTTGTGATCTCAGAATCGAAGATAGCCCCTGTGTTAGTCTGGCACTGTGTTGTTACATAATTGCAAAGAGACATGTGTCCATCAAGTTCAGCCTTTGTCACTTCTGTTTTTGCTGTTGATCCAAGCAACACTTTTGAAACAAACTAGAAAAAAAAATCCTTCTTGACCCCAGAACGACAGTCAGATATCTCCTTGGATCAAGAAACTATTATGCCACTAATTAAACATCAAAACCCTGTATATTACTTTTTTGCAAGTATTTATCCAGTTGCTGTTTATACATTAGTAAAGCCTCAGATAAAACCACATTTTCAGACAGAGAATTCCACATCCTTGTTATTCTTCCTTATTGTTCTTTTCTTTGCCTTAGATGAAATCTCCTTTCTTCTAGTCTAAATGCGTGACCTGGTGTCCTATGTATAGCCCTATTTATGAATAGACTTCCAGACGATGGTTTGGATTAGCCCAAAACATATATTTGTATAATGCTATCATATCCCCTCTGTTGTGCCTTTTTTGTAAACTAAACAAGTTTAGTTCGTTGACTCCAGGTCTTCAACTTTACTAAATGAAATATGACCATTCTGGCTTCTAGGGACTGCCCCAAATTGTGCTATCTATTCACCATTGCCCCCAATATTTCCATATTAACTAATCACTTCATAGTAAAGTAATTTTGGGACATATAACAGGCACGGTTCACAAGTCTAATGGCTGTCAGGCAACTACTAGGGGCTCTAGACTAAGATTTGTGAATCTATTTGACTTCCAAAAATAAACTAATTTTATAAGGGAAAAAACAGAGGTAACACCCTATTATTAAAAAGAAGATAATATGGAATATATTCAAAGCCCAGTCTAATTACTTATTTCACCCAATGTAATTAGATATGTGTACAAAACTATTACTGAAAGTCCAAGCATGAGATTCAATGCTTCACTGAGCATGGGCCATGTGTCCATATCAGACCGGACAAATGCCACCAGTCTCGTTGACGTAACCAGAGGAGAAATGGGCCGCAGTGGGGAGACTATCCTGGCACTGGAGTAAATTATAATTTTGTAGTGATTTTAATATTTGTTTTTATGGTAGTCCATCTAAATTAAGGAAGGCATCTACTTAAAATGTGCTAATTTTTTTTCAAATTAAAGTGTTCTGTTAACTGTTTCTATGTTTCAGTCTATTGCTTGGAATTGACTGATGTGTTTTTCTTACAGAATCCATGCCCATTTTTGTCTATATTATAGTGACTGTTTTTATCATACCTCCGAACATTTCACATGGACAAAGAAAGGGTGTGACCAGGGACAGGGCACTTCTGGGTGTGAGTGGGGGTGTGACCAGGTTTAGAGCTGCTTTGAGTGTAAGTGGTGGTTTGGCCAGGGGTGGGGCTGTTCTGAGAAATTTTGGGTGACTTAATAATAACAATTTCTATAACTAAAATCTAATTACTAACAAGAACAATGTATCTTATTTAAACAAACTGATTTATAAACACATTTATTGTCGTTTAAAGACACGTTACTGGGAGTATTATTGCTGTGGAGCTCTGTTATATACTCAGACACCTTAATGGGAGTATTATTGCTGTGGAGCTCTGTAATACACTCAGACACGTTACTGGGAGTATTATTGCTGTGGAGTTCTGTTATACACTCAAACACGTTACTGGGAGTATTATTGCTGTGGAGCTCTGTTATACACTCAGACACGTTACTGGGAGTATTATTGCTGTGGAGCTCTGTTATACACTCAGACACATTACTGGGAGTATTATTGCTGTGGGGCTCTGTTATACACTCAGACACATTACTGGGAGTATTATTACTGGGGAGCTCTGTTATACTCTCAGACACATTACTGGGAGCATTATTGCTGTGGAGCTCTGTTATACTCTCAGGTTGCTGTGGAGCTCTGTTATTCACTCAGACACAATACTGGGAGTATTATTGCTGTGGAGCTCTGTTATACACTCAGACACAATACTGGGAGTATTATTGCTGTGGAGCTCTGTTATATACTCAGACACATTATTATTATTATTATTATTGCCATTTATATATCGCCAACAGATTCCGTAGCGCTTTACAATATTTTGAGAGGGGGATGTAACGCTAAAAAGGACAATTACAAGAAAACTTACAGGAAAAATAGGTTGAAGAGGACCCTGCTCAAACGAGCTTACAGACTATAGGACGTGGGTGGGAGTATTATTGCTGTGGAGCTCTGTTATACACATTACTAGGAGTATTACTGCTGCGGAGCTCTGTGATACACTCAGACACATTACTGGGAGTATTATTGCTGTGGAGCTCTGTTATACACTCAGACACATTACTGGAAGTATTATTACTGTGGAGCTCTGTTATACACTCAGACACATTACTGGGAGTATTATTACTGTGGAGCTCTGTTATACACATTACTGGGAGTATTATTGCTGTGGAGCTCTGTTATATAACTCAGACACATGACTGGGAGCATTATTGCCGTGGAGCTCTGTTATACACTCAGACACATTACTGGGAGGGTTATTGCTGTGGAGCTCTGTTATACACTCAGACACATTACTGGGAGTATTATTGCTGTGGAGCTCTGTTATACACTCAGACACATTACTGGGAGTATTATTGCTGTGGAGCTCTGTTATACACTCAGACACATTACTGGGAGTATTATTGCTGTGGAGCTCTGTTATACACTCAGACACATTACTGGGAGTATTATTGCTGTGGAGCTGTTATACACTCAGACACATTACTGGGAGTATTATTGCTGTGGAGCTGTTATACACTCAGACACATTACTGGGAGTATTATAGCTGTGGAGCTCTGTTATACACTCAGACACATTACTGGGAGGGTTATTGCTGTGGAGCTCTGTTATACACTCAGACACATAACTGGGAGTATTATTACTGTGGAGCTCTGTTATACACTCAGACACATTACTGGGAGTATTATTACTGTGGAGCTCTGTTATACACTCAGACACATTACTGGGAGTATTATTGCTGTGGAGCTCTGTTATACACTCAGACACATTACTGGGAGTATTATTGCTGTGGAGCTCTGTTATACACTCAGACACATTACTGGGAGTATTATTGCTGTGGAGCTCTGTTATACACTCAGACACATTACTGGGAGTATTATTGCTGTGGAGCTCTGTTATACACTCAGACACATTACTGGGAGTATTATTGCTGTGGAGCTCTGTTATACACTCAGACACATTACTGGGAGTATTATTGCTGTGGAGCTCTGTTATACACTCAGACACATTACTGGGAGTACATGCTAGCTCTGTGATACACTCAGACACATTACTGGGAGTATTATTGCTGTGGAGCTCTGTTATACACTCAGACATTACTGGGAGTATTATTGCTGTGGAGCTCTGTTATACACAGACACATTACTGGGAGTATTATTGCTGTGGAGCTCTGTTATACACTCAGACACATTACTGGGAGTATTATTGCTGTGGAGCTCTGTTATACACTCAGACACATTACTGGGAGTATTATTGCTGTGGAGCTCTGTTATACACTCAGACACATTACTGGGAGTATTATTGCTGTGGAGCTCTGTTATACACTCAGACACATTACTGGGAGTATTATTGCTGTGGAGCTCTGTTATACACTCAGACACATTACTGGGAGTATTATTGCTGTGGAGCTCTGTTATACACTCAGACACATTACTGGGAGTATTATTGCTGTGGAGCTCTGTTTTACACTCAGACACATTACTGGGAGAATTATTGCTGTGGAGCTCTGTTATACACTCAGACACATTACTGAGAGTATTATTGCCGTGGAGCTCTGTTATACACTCAGACACATTACTGGGAGTATTATTACTGTGGAGCTCTGTTATACACTCAGACACATTACTGGGGGTATTATTGCTGTGAAGCTCTGTTATACACTCAGACACATTACTGGGAGTATTATTGCTGTGGAGCTCTGTTATGCACTCAGACACAGTAACAATATGGAGCTCCGAGAAAAGAGGGACAGGGATTTGGGCCCAAATATGTGCCTCCTAAACAGCGACACTTGGGAGGTACAGATTTATGTATAGATGTTTATTTCTATCTAAGTAATCAGGCCACACCAGTGTCTGGTTGATGTTTGTGTCTACTTATATGTGAGTGTCTGTATTCATGAGTGCTCTTTTATATGTGAGTGTCTGTATTCATGAGTGCTCTTTTATATGTGAGTTCCCGTTTTATGTGAAAGCCTGCTTATATTCCTTATCTGCCTACATGGCAGTATCTGGTAGTATATATCCGTTTATATAAGATTATGCGAATGTACATCCGTTTATATTTGAAGGATCATTAATACAGGTTGGTTGACAACATTTGCTGATGCTGGGTGGGTGTGGGGGGCAAGTAATTTCCTAAAACGCGGCTGTCCTGGGTGTGTTATATAGGGATAAGTATAGCACCATGACAGGGGAACAGATAGTAAGGAGGAAGCTCGATATGCCTGGAAATGTGACTTTATACTAAAAAGAGGAACACTGAGGCCTGAGAGATTGGATCTCAGGGTAACTTCCCCTTTTGTGGTTTAGAGGAGGCTGTGACATGGATTTCTTCAGTCTTACTGGCATAATATTTTGGGAAAACTAATGTGATGAAAGCTGCTTTTTTTCTGGTGGGAGGTGGTTGGTGCTATGAGAATTGATGGTAACTATACCAGTTCCTTGACCGGCAGAGACGAGCCCTGACACGGACGTTTATTATTATGCCAGTATCCACAGCCCTCCATGTCCAAGTGTGAACGTGTCCCTGGGTGACTATTAATCAGTGATTAACGCAGGAAATATCTCTGTTGAAATATTGGTTGCACTAGTTGAAAGAGCTGTCCACATTCTGGAATAAATTACGTTTCTTCAAATTTCCGTCCATGTTTTAATTTTGTTCTGTTTTTTCCCCATAGGTTGCTGAAATAGGACATACGAAGCAGAATGCAGAGCATTAAATGTGTGGTGGTTGGTGATGGAGCTGTTGGAAAGACCTGTCTTCTCATCTGTTATACAACAAATGCATTTCCCAAGGAGTACATCCCAACTGTGTTTGACAACTACAGTGCCCAGAGCACCGTGGATGGAAGAACTGTTAGCTTAAACCTCTGGGACACAGCTGGCCAAGAGGAATATGACCGGTTAAGGACACTCTCCTATCCCCAGACTAATGTCTTCATAATCTGCTTCTCCATTGCTAGCCCACCATCGTACGAGAATGTAAAGCACAAATGGTACCCTGAGGTGGGCCATCACTGCCCTAACGTCCCTATTCTCTTGGTGGGTACAAAGAAGGATCTGAGAAACAACCCAGATGTCATCAAAAAACTGAAGGAGCAGAACCAGATGCCAATCACTGTTCAACAAGGAGTGAGTCTATCTAAGCAGATCCATGCAGTGAAATATATGGAATGCTCAGCGCTAAACCACGATGGAATCAAAGAGGTCTTCTCAGAATCTGTGCGGGCTGTTCTCAACCCAAACCCAGTGAAAGAAAAAAAATCCTGCTTTATTTTGTGAAGTTCTCTGCTTCTCCTGAGTTATAAGCCACAAATAATTGTCTTTCTATGTCATTACTTGTCATTACTTTTTTTCACCGCAGCACCAGTGAAATCTGCAACCTTGTTTAAGCTGACGCCTCTGCAGATTGTGGAAAGTGTGGAAAATAAATTAGGAGTCGGGAGTCAGTACTTTTTAACCTACCATCCCTGTTCTGTAGGTTATCAAGAACCCATTAAGATCTAAAATGGAAATGGACCCATCTGTAACAAACAAATAGGTTTATATGTTAGTTATCCTTCTCCCACACTCTTTCTTCTACATTTCTACTTCGGCTTTAAATGTCTTATGTATTTACCTCTCTAGAACTCCAAGAGTTTAATAGCAAAATGAGGTTAAATTCATTCTAGGGATGGAATCTGGCAGATTAATACACGTTCAGTTTTTTCACTTATGGTTCCAACACTGAGATATTGCCGCTTTTTCATACTAAGAAGAAGTGGATGAAACGTATTCCGCAAATTCTAGCTTATTGTCTAGTTTGACGTTTTTTTTTAGGAATATTTAAGAACCTGAAATGGAAAACACTGGATCCACACAGGCATTTTTGTGGACTCACTTTGAGTTTTTTCCAATGACTTTTTAATTCAATGTGTATTGGTGTTTAACGCCTTAAGGACACATGACATGTGTGACATGTCATGATTCCCTTTTATTCCAGAAGTTTGGTCCTTAAGGGGTTAATGGACAATTACATGTCAAACATAGTGCGAAGAGTCTCATTACAATGAATAAAATGTCAGCTGATCAATGAGTGAGTGCAAAAAACGAGGCAGAAATTGGAGTTTCACTCACAACTAGCATTTTCTTTGAAACAGACCAAACAACCTTAACCCCTTAAGGACCAAACTTCTGGAATAAAAGGGAATCATGACATGTCACACATGTCATGTGTCCTTAAGGGGTTAAACTCACATTTCATGTTCCAAATTGCTTTCATTCTAAACAAATCTAAATACTTTAGATTTGTTTCTCAGCTGCTTTGGTTTAGGTCCACCTGCTGTTGACTAGACAACTTTTAAACCGTGTTCGTTCCTTTTGGAATTTTTATCAATCTGTGAATGTCATGGTTTGGCAACATAACAGGACAAAACTATCCTAAATTCACGAGTGACTAAATAGAGGTTACAATGGTGAAATGTAACAAATACCGATGTGTCTTCAACTAACAGCGATCTTCTTGGAAGGACTTGAATCCCAATGTTGGACTACTTATGGTATCCAGCTCGAAAAACCTTCTTAACAAACAGCTGACGCTGGACTTACATTAAGTGTGGTGTCTTCCAAGGTTCTCCTATGAATGCTGGACGACAAGGATACATCCATGTCAATGTTAATAGCCAGTTAATGATAAACATCTTTGCTTGTGTGTGTATTGTGAATGAGCTGATTGCTACAGTCCTACCCAGTAAAGGTCTTGGCCGGGTTACTTGCTAAAGTGCGATCTATCTGAATTTGAAAGTAAATTTCAGTGGAAAGGCTTCATTATCCAAACTAGAAGGACTTTGAATTAATCTTGAATTTTGTTTTCACCAGTTCCCAGAATGTCCAAATATCCAAAACATCAGTTGGTTCCAGAGCCAAAGGCACTTTATTTGTAAATCGGTTTTCCTTTATTACTGATATTCCTGAGACGTTTCATTGTATGGTACTTGGCAAAGAAAAGGGATTTTAAAAAAACAGAATCTTTAACAAAAAAGCAAAAAAAAGAAAAACGAAGGAAAAACCCCAACAAACACAAACCCGCTGTTTCTTTTATATACAGTTAGTATGTTTTATGAAAAATTCCTAGAATATTAAATAAATGAATAAACGGTTCTAGCAGTTCTGTGAAACCTGGAAAAGTGATTTGAAATAAATGCAGCCTATAGATTCGATTCCATTTCAGATAATGATGGGTGTACATCTCCCCACGTGGATTTGTAACAATAGTCTCAATGCTCTGTGCACATTGGCTCTTAAGCCGGTATAATTGTCTTTGTTTCTGTCTATTGTTGTTGGAACAGAATGACTCAAGGTTTTCCCATTGTAGTGTCTTGAGAAGCAGTTTTAAGATTTTGATAAATAATGTTGTAGAACATGTTTGTCACTTCTAAAGTAGACTGTAATCTACCCCCTAGATACTCGAAACACCAACGTTATAAATTATCTGGACAACGGTTAAAGGTTTAAATCTGACCACATCAGTGTTTAAAAGTGGTCGTGGTGCCAGGAATCAAACGTTGCACATACCGAGTTTAACTCCTTTGCTGCCAGCAAAGTCGCCTCCAGCAGCATCGTTGGGTCTTCATTAGCCGGTCTAGAACTAGCGTTCCGGGCTGGCCAATGTCAATTCTGTACAGATTTAATTGCACAGAAAGTCATCAATTGGTTGCAGAGTCTGGACGTACGTCACCAAAGCAGGAGGGAGCGTTGGAGCCCGTCAGGGACCCAGGTAAGAGGGCATGATTCCTGCGTCCGGCGCGGGACATCCGATCCGCCTGTGAGAGGATTCCGCATCGGGTGCTGGAGAGAGACCATGACACCTTCTAGATTACAATATCCAGGTATAGTCTTAAATTAGAGGGACAAAGGTTTTAAAATAATATCAGGAAGTATTACTTTACTGAGAGGGTAGTGGATGCATGGAATAGCCTTCCAGCTGAAGTGGTAGAGGTTAACAGTTTGTCCCATTACCAGGAATGGAGTTCTTCTGGCATAATAACCATCACAACTGCTGGAGTAAGCCTTTAGGTCTGTTTGTTTACGGCAGACAGGAAGCAGAGTCAGGTATTCAGTAAGCAAATCTACACCCCTTGATTTAAAGTCACCATGAGGGACATGTGGGATGTGATGTGGTCTCACCTGTCTCCTGCTCTGCCCGTCATGGTTTGGGATCCCGGGGACGCTGGTGTATTTTGTGCCTTTTGGCTACAAATCCTTTCAGTCTTGTTACAGTGCAGCCACCACCCAGTAACTCTGGGAGTGATTTCTTTATTAGTCATCACAAGGTTTCCTCCGCTTAACTCACAAATAGAGCCAGTATAGTTTACTAAGCAAAGCATTGTTTTATTCATTGTGTCGTCTATATATTTTATATCTTCTGAGTATTATTTTCTTTGGCTTCTCACCAACAATGTTAGTTTTCTTTGATGTTTTTAATAAATACATGTGATATATAAAAGGACACATTGTGACAATTAAGTGTATTTATAACTAATACGTACCATAATGCTAAAGAAACTAAAATATACATTTGATAAAATAAAATATTTCTTTCTCAGCAGGTATAATTTGTTTTAGATAGAACGTGTAGTGAAAGTTGAAATGAATCTGTATGCATGTGGAAATGGATTGAAATTTTAAAAACCATAGTGATCCAGCAGAGAAGGCTGAGACCTGGGTCGAGGTTTGGTCTGCTCAGATGGGACGGACATAGACAATGAATAGCCCTCACTGGCGGTTATCTAAGTTCCTTCTGTCACGGTTACGTAAACCCCAACACACAGTGTGTAATCCCAGAGAAAACAAAGAACATATTACTGACCCTTAGAATGGTCGGGCTTAATGTAGGACCGAAAAGAATCGTCAGAGGACAGCCAAAGTAGCCAATAACTCACCTTTTAGCCAAGCCGAATCAAATGTACCAAGAAAACACTAAGATAATATAAGTATCGCTAGAGGGAACCATAGAAACCACAATAGGGCAAAGAACAAAGTAAAAGGCACCTCTTTTGCTTTAAGACCACACCCCCAAAACGGAATGGCGGTGGCGCATATGCGTTGCGGCATAAGAAGGAGCATGATTCCTGCGTCCGGCGTGGGATATCCAATCCGCCTGTGAGAGAATTCAGCATCGGGTGCTGGAGAGAGACCATGACACCTTCTAGATTACAATATCCAGGTATAGTCTTAAATTAGAGGTACAAAGGTTTAAAAATAATATCAGGAAGTATTACTTTACTGAGAGGGTAGTGGATGCAAGGAATAGCCTTCCAGCTGAAATGGTAGAGGTTAACACAGTGAGGGAGTTTAAGCATGCGTGGGATAGGCATAAGGCAATCCTAACTATAAGATAAGGCTAGGGATTAATGAAAGTATTTAGAAAATTGGGCAGACTAGATGGGCCGAATGGTTCTTATCTGCCGTCACATTCTATGTTTCTATTTCAGGCGTAGTGGCTTCAGTATGGAAGCTGGATATTTCTATGAAGAAACACGCTAAGTTAAGGATTAGAGATAGGAGCAAACTGTTTGTTGGCGTTTTGATCAGAATAGCACATCTGGCAATGTTTCAACTCTCATCATTTCTTTGTCAAACTAAATGGTGGAAACGTTGCCAGGTCTAAACACTTTGTTGTTCTTCTCCTTGGAAATTTAAACAATAAAACATAACATTACAATATTTGTAAGTGTCAGACACCGCAGGGTATTTATTGTGAGTTGTGTTGTCTCTGATTGTGTGTCTCTGTGAGCGTGTGCGTGTATGACCAGATCAGCTTTCTCCAGAATGCTTTTATTTTAATTTGCATATAATTTGTCTGCCTTATCCTTCTTCATTTCCATAAAATAATAATATTAACAATATTAATATACCCATAACCAGACCCGGACTAGCCATCGGGCAAATGCCCAGAGGGCCGCGACGGCCATAGGCCGACAGGGGAGATCAAAGGATTTCCCCGGCCGGCCCCTTTAGGGCTGGTGCTGCCTGGTCTCTGGCCCATAGAGGGAGTTCTGTGCGGTGGGGAGATCAAAGATAGCAGCTAGCAGAACGCAGGCCCTGTGCACATTGGCTACACCTGTCATGGGGTGTAGACCAGATGCTTCTTCCGCTGGACCACCAGGGAAAGAATTCCTTCCCAGCATCCTCTCCTGCCAAGGATCAAGGTAAGGAAGAGGGATGGGGAGTTTTTTTTTTTTGCCCCATGTGCCCCTCCCTCACACAGCAGTCCCTGTCCCTCCCTCTTTTACACCCTGCATCCCCTCTCACCCTGCAATCACTGTCCCCTTCTGACCCTGCATCCCCTGCCCCCCTCTGACCCTGCATCCCCTGCCCCCTCTTACCCTGCAACCCTTGCCCCCTCTTACCAAGCAGCCCCATGT